TTTTTTGTCGAGATTTTGTATCCTAATGGTCAATCAACATACCCCAAACTCCATACACAAAATTATTCTCAGATTTGAAGCCGAAATCTATGAAAAAAGGCACTCAGAAAAATTGAAAAATTGATAAATCACCCCAAATCGCTTAACACGATTTTATCTCAGGAACTATAAGTGTAAATGAGCTGAAATTTTCAGGGATTGTAGACCTTTGAAAGGGACAAAATTCAGTAAAAGTTTCAGCTTTCTATCTATAATAGAAAAAAAGTTATGACCTTTCAAAGTTTTCCAAAATCTAAATCATAAGGTAGGTACCTTCTTACTAAAAGGATGAAATTTCAAATTTTTTTTTGTCGAGATTTTGTATCCTAATGGTCAATCAACATACCCCAAACTCCATACACAAAATTATTCTAAGATTTGAAGCCGAAATCTATGAAAAAAGGCACTCAGAAAAATTGAAAAATTGATAAATCACCCCAAATCGCTTAACACGATTTTATCTCAGGAACTATAAGTGTAAATGAGCTGAAATTTTCAGGGATTGTAGACGTTTCAAAGGGATAAAATTCAGTAAAAGTTTCAGCTTTCTATCTATAATAGAAAAAAAGTTATGACCTTTCAAAGTTTTCCAAAATCTAAATCATAAGGTAGGTACCTTCTTACTAAAAGGATGAAATTTCAAATTTTTTTTTGTCGAGATTTTGTATCCTAATGGTCAATCAACATACCCCAAACTCCATACACAAAATTATTCTCAGATTTGAAGCCGAAATCTATGAAAAAAGGCACTCAGAAAAATTGAAAAATTGATAAATCACCCCAAATCGCTTAACACGATTTTATCTCAGGAACTATAAGTGTAAATGAGCTGAAATTTTCAGGGATTGTAGACGTTTCAAAGGGATAAAATTCAGTAAAAGTTTCAGCTTTCTATCTATAATAGAAAAAAAGTTATGACCTTTCAAAGTTTTCCAAAATCTAAATCATAAGGTAGGTACCTTCTTACTAAAAGGATGAAATTTCAAATTTTTTTTTGTTGAGATTTTGTATCCTAATGGTCAATCAACATACCCCAAACTCCATACACAAAATTATTCTCAGATTTGAAGCCGAAATCTATGAAAAAAGGCACTCAGAAAAATTGAAAAATTGATAAATCACCCCAAATCGCTTAACACGATTTTATCTCAGGAACTATAAGTGTAAATGAGCTGAAATTTTCAGGGATTGTAGACCTTTGAAAGGGACAAAATTCAGTAAAAGTTTCAGCTTTCTATCTATAATAGAAAAAAAGTTATGACCTTTCAAAGTTTTCCAAAATCTAAATCATAAGGTAGGTACCTTCTTACTAAAAGGATGAAATTTCAATTTTTTTTTTCTCGAGATTTTGTATCCTAATGTACAATCAACATACCCCAAACTCCATACACAAAATTATTCTCAGATTTGAAGCCGAAATCTATGAAAAAAGGCACTCAGAAAAATTGAAAAATTGATAAATCACCCCAAATCGCTTAACACGATTTTATCTCAGGAACTATAAGTGTAAATGAGCTGAAATTTTCAGGGATTGTAGACGTTTCAAAGGGATAAAATTCAGTAAAAGTTTCAGCTTTCTATCTATAATAGAAAAAAAGTTATGACCTTTCAAAGTTTTCCAAAATCTAAATCATAAGGTAGGTACCTTCTTACTAAAAGGATGAAATTTCAAATTTTTTTTTGTCGAGATTTTGTATCCTAATGGTCAATCAACATACCCCAAACTCCATACACAAAATTATTCTCAGATTTGAAGCCGAAATCTATGAAAAAAGGCACTCAGAAAAATTGAAAAATTGATAAATCACCCCAAATCGCTTAACACGATTTTATCTCAGGAACTATAAGTGTAAATGAGCTGAAATTTTCAGGGATTGTAGACCTTTGAAAGGGACAAAATTCAGTAAAAGTTTCAGCTTTCTATCTATAATAGAAAAAAAGTTATGACCTTTCAAAGTTTTCCAAAATCTAAATCATAAGGTAGGTACCTTCTTACTAAAAGGATGAAATTTCAATTTTTTTTTTCTCGAGATTTTGTATCCTAATGTACAATCAACATACCCCAAACTCCATACACAAAATTATTCTCAGATTTGAAGCCGAAATCTATGAAAAAAGGCACTCAGAAAAATTGAAAAATTGATAAATCACCCCAAATCGCTTAACACGATTTTATCTCAGGAACTATAAGTGTAAATGAGCTGAAATTTTCAGGGATTGTAGACCTTTGAAAGGGACAAAATTCAGTAAAAGTTTCAGCTTTCTATCTATAATAGAAAAAAAGTTATGACCTTTCAAAGTTTTCCAAAATCTAAATCATAAGGTAGGTACCTTCTTACTAAAAGGATGAAATTTCAAATTTTTTTTTGTCGAGATTTTGTATCCTAATGGTCAATCAACATACCCCAAACTCCATACACAAAATTATTCTCAGATTTGAAGCCGAAATCTATGAAAAAAGGCACTCAGAAAAATTGAAAAATTGATAAATCACCCCAAATCGCTTAACACGATTTTATCTCAGGAACTATAAGTGTAAATGAGCTGAAATTTTCAGGGATTGTAGACCTTTGAAAGGGACAAAATTCAGTAAAAGTTTCAGCTTTCTATCTATAATAGAAAAAAAGTTATGACCTTTCAAAGTTTTCCAAAATCTAAATCATAAGGTAGGTACCTTCTTACTAAAAGGATGAAATTTCAATTTTTTTTTTCTCGAGATTTTGTATCCTAATGTACAATCAACATACCCCAAACTCCATACACAAAATTATTCTCAGATTTGAAGCCGAAATCTATGAAAAAAGGCACTCAGAAAAATTGAAAAATTGATAAATCACCCCAAATCGCTTAACACGATTTTATCTCAGGAACTATAAGTGTAAATGAGCTGAAATTTTCAGGGATTGTAGACGTTTCAAAGGGATAAAATTCAGTAAAAGTTTCAGCTTTCTATCTATAATAGAAAAAAAGTTATGACCTTTCAAAGTTTTCCAAAATCTAAATCATAAGGTAGGTACCTTCTTACTAAAAGGATGAAATTTCAAATTTTTTTTTGTCGAGATTTTGTATCCTAATGGTCAATCAACATACCCCAAACTCCATACACAAAATTATTCTCAGATTTGAAGCCGAAATCTATGAAAAAAGGCACTCAGAAAAATTGAAAAATTGATAAATCACCCCAAATCGCTTAACACGATTTTATCTCAGGAACTATAAGTGTAAATGAGCTGAAATTTTCAGGGATTGTAGACCTTTGAAAGGGACAAAATTCAGTAAAAGTTTCAGCTTTCTATCTATAATAGAAAAAAAGTTATGACCTTTCAAAGTTTTCCAAAATCTAAATCATAAGGTAGGTACCTTCTTACTAAAAGGATGAAATTTCAAATTTTTTTTTGTCGAGATTTTGTATCCTAATGGTCAATCAACATACCCCAAACTCCATACACAAAATTATTCTAAGATTTGAAGCCGAAATCTATGAAAAAAGGCACTCAGAAAAATTGAAAAATTGATAAATCACCCCAAATCGCTTAACACGATTTTATCTCAGGAACTATAAGTGTAAATGAGCTGAAATTTTCAGGGATTGTAGACGTTTCAAAGGGATAAAATTCAGTAAAAGTTTCAGCTTTCTATCTATAATAGAAAAAAAGTTATGACCTTTCAAAGTTTTCCAAAATCTAAATCATAAGGTAGGTACCTTCTTACTAAAAGGATGAAATTTCAAATTTTTTTTTGTCGAGATTTTGTATCCTAATGGTCAATCAACATACCCCAAACTCCATACACAAAATTATTCTAAGATTTGAAGCCGAAATCTATGAAAAAAGGCACTCAGAAAAATTGAAAAATTGATAAATCACCCCAAATCGCTTAACACGATTTTATCTCAGGAACTATAAGTGTAAATGAGCTGAAATTTTCAGGGATTGTAGACGTTTCAAAGGGATAAAATTCAGTAAAAGTTTCAGCTTTCTATCTATAATAGAAAAAAAGTTATGACCTTTCAAAGTTTTCCAAAATCTAAATCATAAGGTTCACCTTCTTACTAAAATGAGTTGAAATTTTCAGGGATTGTACAGATTTTGAATTTTCCAAGCTGTGAAAACTTCTTTTGTGAAAAATCTTCAGATCTTAAAGTCTGAATCATGATTTTTCTAATTTCCTGATTTTTGTCTTACGATTTCAAATTTATTTATATAAAAGAGCTCTAATGTATGTATGTATGTATGTATATCAAAATCATTACAAAAATTAATTCATTATTAGCGTCCAGCCAGTGGGTCACAGAAACATAGGCAATACTAAAATCTAAACCAGACGCAGCGTCATCATTTTTTGTATATACTGTGTATAGGTAAATAGTTGTTAATTGTTCAATAAAAATCAGTATTAATCCAGCAGTGGTTTTTACTCTCCAGTTACCAATCTTTCCAGGTGTACTAACCCAATCTACAAACAACAAACTACCAAGTGTTCTGAGGAGCATCCTTCTTCTAAATTCCAATACAGGAATTTACACTGAAAGAATATTTAGATCCCATCAGGTTCTTAAGACTCTTAAATTTAGATTCTTTCTTTTGCAAATATTCTGCCTTACTTTGAGAAAACCCTAGAATTCTGAATTTTGCAAATTCTGCTTGTTGGTGCTTCTATGGAAATACTTCCTCATATCTTCAGATTCAAAATAAAATCTTTGAATGGGAAATTTTTCGTAAATCGAGCAAAGGAAGGGGAAAAAAATTCAATAAATATTATTCCTTATGTTATACCTTATGTACTGAAATACTTACCTAGAAAAAAAAACAGATTTCAAGCCATCACAAAATAAATATAATGCTGAAAATTAGTATAACTGAAGATTCATAGGTATGTGGAAAACAACCATTAAAATTGGCTTCAAATTATCAAATTTTGACTAGATAAGACATTAATAGATAATTACCAAAAATCCTTACATTGCAATTGCTGTAAGCACAACCCTGCCAGATCGTCCCATCAAACCAGCCTCATCCTCAATAACATCAGCCGATTTTCCCAATTCTCTCCTATAATCCCTCAAACGCCTTTTAACAGTAAAAATATCTACAAAAAAAATTATTACCACACTATTTTTAAGTTTAGCCCAAATTACTTTGTTGATATTTCTTCTTTTCAATGTCCCTTTTGATCAGCTCCTTTTGCAAATTCTCTTTGGAGCCCCAAATTTCCAAAGCTTTAGCCTGAACGTCTCGCCTCCAATAGACTGTTATAGGAGGCTCTGCCTCATACGGAGACCGCCTTTTGGTTTTAGGAAGCGTTTCCAAATCTGAAGGTTTCAGCAAAAAATCGGACATTGCCCTCACAGGCGTTATAAAGTTCCTCTCCAAAGACTGAGCAGTCAAATCCATTTTTTTGCGGACTTTTTTAGGTTCTTCACTAGACCCAATAAGCTTCTCTTTGATTTTTGAAGTTATCGTGGCTTTTCCAGGGGCTTTAGACTCTTTGTCGTCTTCATTAGCAGATGCGGTGACAACATTTGGAGGCTTCATATGGGGGGCTATAACTTTTAGGACTGAAGTTGCCTGTTCGATTTTTTCTCTGATTGGTTCATTGGAAGCTGTTTTAGATATAAATCGGTTTTTTGAATGGGATTTTTGTATTTTAAGGTCTAGTTTGTTGAGTAAACGTTCATAGTGGCCTAGTTTGTGTTCTACAATGGAAAATATTGTTTTAGGGTAAAAATGGATTTGATTTTATATGATTTACCTATTTTTAGGCTTCTAGCAGTTGAACCATTGAAGATAAATAAGTTTTTAAACAAGAAACTGCTTCTTAGGAGCATTTTTATTGGTTTATTTACTTTATTTATGTTGGGGCTCCTTAAGCTACATAACCTCACTTATCGATTTTTTTTTTTTTAGAATTTTATATAAAATGAACAATATTTCTGATTGCTGGCATAAGAAATGAGTAAAATGAACTTGTATTGATTAATTTAGTATTTTTATATTGGATAATAGTGATTTTTAATAATAAATAATTAATAAAAATATTTCTAGTTGATTTAGGTGACTGTCGCTAGATGGCGGCAGTTGTCAGTTGAATTAAAATTATTAACTATGTATTTTAAGACAAATTATATATTTTTTCAAGATTTTTTCAAGATTTTTTCAAGATTTTTTCCGATAGATTTTAGTCAAAATTTACAGGCAATTAAATTGTTTGCTAATTAAAATACTATTAAATTCAAATAAAGCAAAAAAAATATTAGTTTTGGTTGTTTTAAATGACTGTCCCTAGATGGCGGTAGCTGTTATTTAAATTAATTAATTTAGTTAATTAAAATTAATTTTTCGGACAAATTCTAAATTTTAGTCAATAGTACTCAGCTAAAATTAACCTGTGAATAAAGCGTTAGCTAAAAGTACCAAAAAACAAATAGCTCGCTATTTATGACTTTATTTATTTGGAATTCCTTTTCCAATAAACTAACGTCAGCTGAATGCACGCCAATCATAAAACGGCTTATGTCAAATTTGAAAATTTCTTAACCTCACTTTTTATTTTACTATTTTTTTGTTGCGCCAAAAATCAAATTATAAATAAACTTTTGTGTTGTGTATTTATTTATTAACAAAACCCAGTGAAATTATGGATGATATAACCGATAGAGAACAGTACGTGAAAGATCCGAGGATGGCCTGCAAGTACGGACCCAAGTGCTACCAAAAAAACCCGGAACACTCGCAAAAGTACAAACATCCACCCCCCAAAGGCCCCAATACTAAAAAACGCACCAATAACGATACTGAACAACTTGCTAAGAAATTCAAAGTTGATCTAGCACCCATTGAAACAGACCCAAAAGAGGAATCTATTGAAACAGACCCAAAATCTGATGATGAGTCAAATATTAATGCTTCACCAAAAGAAGCTATTGATTCACAAACTCCTACAGTAAAAGTTCGCACTCCTAAAACAATCCCTGACCTACACGAGTTCATCAAATCCTATTTCTTAGTAACAATGCCAGAAGATTTCTATGAGTTCTGGAAGTTATGTGAAAAACTCAAAAAATCCTGCCCTCAAGAGGCTTTTAAAGATGTAGGGCTACATTTGGTGGGGCCTTACGATGTATTGGCTGGCAAATTTTGCGATGTTGAACTTTCTGAAGATGATTTTTTGGTGCATTGGAGGTTCTTTTACGATCCTCCAGAGTGCCAAACTGTGTTGAAGGGAGACGACAAAAAGGGGTTCCATGTGGGCTACTTTAGAGACTCTCCAAAAGATCTTCCAGTGTGCCTTGTGCACAATTCAAGTAAAATTGATGGGGTTTTTACTGTTTGCGGTGATAATATTTTTGCTGCCGTTTACATTTATTTGGAAAATATGAAAAAATTTGGAGATCCTTTTAAGAAAATGCATATTGGCAAATTCCAAAACATCCTGAAACAATCAATGGAGGAGCTCAAGTTAGACTGTGGCCAAAAAACTGAAAAAATCAAGTCAAGGGAAAAGAAAATTGTTGCTAGGAGTTTTAGTAAACTTGGCATCGTTGTACCCTATAACCGCAAGTAAACTTGTAGCTGTTGCTACAAAGTACAAAAACTAATTTAATTTCGATTTCAGAACTCAACTAGGCTACAGACAGTTGTCAATAAGCAACACCGACCTCCAAAAAATGCTCAATGACATCAGAAAGGCCTTGCCAGAACAAAAACCAAAATACCTGTCAAAACTGCAAGATATTCTGACTAATACCAGTATAGCAACAGATGAGTGTGACTTTGGTACGGGTATCGAGTTGGGCTTGGACATTTTGGCGCACGGGATTGACAGTTTGAATGTCACCATTGCAAGGGTTTTAGCAACAAACTATAGGCTATTAGATAGAGAGGGGTTTGCTAAAATCATTGAAGCCCATATGAAGAAGCGAGATAATGGAACCAATTTAAGTATCATCTGAAATAAATTATTTTTTGTCTACTATTTTTGAATGATCTTTTTTTTTTTGTTACCAATTTTCAACAGAATTCTTTTATCTCAAATTTCTATCTTAGAGGGCTAGTTTCTCAATAGCGAGTCACTCCCGGATTGAGCTTAACTCCAGGATAAATATAGCAACTGGACACGCTTACCCTGGGGTTAAAACCAACCCCGGGCTGCTGGGACCAAGACGAGTAGAATTCTACTTTCATGACGTCACCCGCGATCTATTTAAACGCGTACAGTACAGGCGATGATGATGGTTGTTAGGCAACCTGACGTCGTCAAAGTAGAATTCTACTTGTCATTGGTTCATTTCATCATTATTTAAATTGGTTCATAATAATTCTACAGGATGTTAATGAATAATGGCGAAAAACTTCTAGGATAAATAGTACTCATTAAAATAGAAAAAAAAAGTTAATGGAAACATGAGTTTGCACTTTGCAACGAGGTTGTTGAGAGCTGGGTCGCCTGATAACTTTATGACGTCATCTGGGGTGCCTTAACATAATACAAATCTCGATATAGCACCCAAACTCCCCAATATTATTAACACTCTGTATAATTAGGTGCCTTTAAAACTGCCAAAAATTCATTTATTTAAATAATATTTTATTTTAAATAATAAACAATAATAAAATGTATATACAATAAATCAGTGGCGTGCCTAATAAAATATATACGAACAAAAATGCACTTTAGTCCTTAAATAAATTGAGAATCAACGCCACCTCACACCAAAAATATCACATTTCCTAGTACAATCTAAAATGTAACCACCCTGTACAATAACTAGTCAAAAAATAATATCATTGTTGTCAATGTCATGGTTGAAAATGTCAAATTTTGACAAGCTATTGTAGAATAAAGATTTATTTTCCTCGGAATCATTTTTGTGCTCCCTCAATCAGTTTTTTTGTGCGTCATTTCCTGGTAAGTGGGAAATTTGGCAACTTCGATCTTGTCTTTGACCTTGAACGTGGGGTACAGACCTATTTGGTTGGTACGCAAATTGCGACCTTTACTGAAACCGTCCCAGTGATTACCTGCGACACCTGAAACATGACAGACGGGGTCAATAGCAACCAACAGTGTTATCAAATTGTAGTACAGTATAAATTCACAATTGGGCAATCCAGACCATGTGATTCAATATAAGTATATAGAAAAGCATTTGTGTTTTTGGCACTTGTTTTTGTAGATGTCAAACATGACAATACCAATGTCAAACCTAAATGTCCAAAATGTGAGAAAACATCATTGGACAAAACAACTTAACCCTTTTCACGTGGCTCCGGTTTAACAAACCGCAACATACTGCTCAAATTCGAGTGGTAGGTATCCATCACGTCACTTTGTAACCGGGTTAGAAAGCGGTATGTCATTTCTCTAACCGTTTTGTAACCCGGTTAGTTAAACCGGAGCCACATGAAAAGAACTATTGGTTTTTGATTTGAACAGCCATATTGAATTTCGTTTGACAGATCAATAGATTGCCTAATTAGCAATGTAAGTACAGTGTTGCCAATGTTATTAAAGTTACTTACCGATCAAATCGCCAGGTACGACGTTCATTTCGCCAATTTTTTTTGGTTCGTGCGGCAACACCGCGATAACGTTGTGCGGATTTTGGCCGCCGTAGTAGTAGATGTCGTCCAACGATTTATACCGGGCTGAAGCGTCAGGATACTGGTTTTGCATGATTTCGTAGGCGATTCGACAGACTTGCGACGAAAACGTGCAAACCAAAAAATCGCTCATCGCCAACATGTGAATGTCATAAATGATGCCGAATAAGGAAGTGTCAGAGTACCGAGTCGATACGGCGGCCATTTTCGATACTTGCGGATCGCACACGATGTCGTACTCGGGGTATTTTGATTTGGCTTCCAGCAAAACTTTGGGATCGTCTGAGGCCAAGTAGACGCGTTTAACGATGACGTCGTTTGGCTGTTTCAAGGCCAACTGCGCGTAGTACTCGTCCACTTCCATCATGTATTCTTCTAGACGGTGAAAAGCGGCCTCGGTGCCTACTTTGTCGGTTCTGCGCACGTGCACGCCCACTATCGGTCGTTTGTAGCCCAACTTGTCCATGGCCTGCTGGATTAAGTTGGAGGTTTTCTCTTGAGGTCGTAGTAGGTATTTTAGGATTTGGCCTACCCACCATACGATTGGGTCACCGTGTAGACGTGTCAACCTAAACATAATTTGATAATATTTTTACAAATATTTTTATTTTTGTTTAAAGTAACTGAACAATTCATGACCAGCTTGATAGCATATTTCTCCAGAAAGTCTCTTCCACTCTCATTGATTAAAAAAGAAAGACCGATGATGGACTGTCAATTACACAAATAATAAAGATTTCTTTATAGTCAATTTTCGTCTATTCTTGGCTCTTGAACTTAACTGTCAATGTTCACTTCTGTCAAATTGTACACAGAACTATTTGTCAAATAATTGTGCGTGCATGTGTCAATCCATGGCCAACTTGATGACATATTTTTTCACAAAGTCTTTTGTCACTCTTATTGATTAGAAAAGAAGGGCTGATGATGGACTGTCAATTCAACAAATAAAAAAAATTACTTTAGAATCAATTTTCGTTAATTCCCGGCTCTTGAACTTAACTGCCAATGGTCACTTCTGTCAAATTATACAACGAATAATTTGTCAAATAACTGTGCATGTGTCAATCCGTGGCCAACTTGATGCCATATTTTTTCAGAAAGTCTCTGTCACTCTCATTGATTGAAAAAGGAGGGCCGATGACAGACTGTCAATTCAACAAATATATCCTATTCACAATCTGTAGTCCAAAGTTACAGGTAAATTTATTACCTTTCTTTATCAAATAGCATTGAAAGGTGATAAATTTTACCTGTAGTTTTGGGCTACAGATTGTAAATAGATAATAATATAGATTTCTTTTCAATTAATTTTTGACTATTCTCGGTTCTTGAAGTCAATTGGCAATGGTTACTTCTGTCAAATTATACAATGAATTATTTGTCAAATAATTGTGCATGTGTTAATCCATGGCCAACTTGATGGCATATTTTCACAGAAAGTGTCATGTCATTCTCATTGATTAGAAAAGGAGAGCCGATGACAATCTGTCAATTCAACAAATAATAAAGATTTATTTTCAATTAATTTTTGACTATTCTTGGTTCTTAAAGTCAACTGTCAATGGTTACTTCTTTATTATTATACAATTATACAACCAATTATTTGTCAAATAATAGTGCATGTGTCAATCCATGGCCAACTTGATGGCATATTTTTTCAGAAAGTCTCTTGTCACTCTCATTGATTAGAAAAGGAAGGCGGATGACAGACTGTCAATTCCACAAATAATAAAGATTTCTTTTCGATCAATTTTTGTCTATTCTTGGCTCTTGAAGTCAACTGTCAATGGTTGCTTCTGTCAAATTGTACAACAAAGTATTTGTCAAATAATTGTGCATGTGTCGATCCATGGCTAACTTGATGGCATATTTTTTCAGAAAGTCTCTTGTCACTCTCATTAATTAGAAAAGGAGGGCCGATGAAGGACTGTCAATTCAACAAATAATAAAGATTTATTTTCAATTAATTTTTTTCTATTCTTGGTTCTTAAAGTTAACTGTCAATGGTTACTTCTGTCAAATTATACAACCAATTATTTGTCAAATAATTGTGCATGTGCCAACTTGATGGCATATTTTTTCAGAAAGTCTCTTGTCACTCTCATTGATTAGAAAAGGAAGGCCGATGACGGACTATCAATTCCACAAATAATAAAGATTTCTTTTCGATCAATTTTTGTCTATTCTCGGCTCTTGAAGTTAACTGTCAATGGTCACTTCTGTCAAATGGTACAATGAATTATTTGTCAAATAATTGTGCATGTATCAACCCATGGCTAACTTGATGGGTATATTTTTTCCGAGGGGGAAACCACCTACCTAATTTTGTACACCAAAAATTCTAAAATTCTGAAAAATGCTAATTTTCATGTTATTATTGTACCAAAAAATTCTGAAAATTCTAAAAAATTTTAAAAAATCCCAACAAATTGGGCAGGCTCTTGAGCATGCGCAATAGATAAAAATTCAAAATTATTTCTAAAAAACTCTAGTTCAATTCTAAAAAATACTGAATAATTCTAGAAATTGCAAAAAAATACTGAAAAATGCAAAAAAATACTGATAATTCTGAAAAATTCTAAAAATTCTATAAGTTTGTACAGGGTGATCTATTATAAATGTCGACCCTGCTAACTTTATCATTTGACGTTTTTGACAGAAGTATCAACTGTCAAATACAAAAATTTTAAGAAATTATGTTTTTTTTTTAACTAAGTTAGTTTTAGGCATACAGGGTGCGTCAAAAAAGTGCAGCAGTGTGAAGTTATATTTTTTTAAATGGAACACCCTGTATATTGTGCGCTTATTTGTTAGTCCCCTTACCAATTCCAGCACCATACTAGATATGTAATATGATTTCAACGATATACGGTTTGATATGTTTATCTCTCTGTTTATCTTCAATAGTTATAGGGAAAAACGCGAAAATCCCTTGCTAGTTCTCTCATGTTATTTTTTCAAAAATAATAATAATAACTGGATTTATTATAATATAATATTTCACCTTGTATATTAATGAATAAAATTTGAACAATAAACTGTTCATAAAAAAAATTCTCTAAAGCTTAAATGGTATAATTTTTCTTTTTTCAATATGAAACCTTGAAAGGAGTTTTCATGTTTTTCCTTATAAATATCGAAGATTGCTGCTACACTTTTTTGACACACCCTGTATGTCTAAAACTGACTTGGTTAAAAACTTTCGACAATTTATTGAAACTTTTGTATTTGACACTTTTGTCAAAAATGTCAAATGAAAAAGTTAGAAGGGGGTGACGTTTATAATAGATCACCCTGTACACCAAAATTCTAAGAAGGTTTCCCGCTCGGGGGAACCCACCTACCTATTTTTTTACACCATAAATAATAATTCTAAAATTTTGAAAAATGCTAATTCTCGAAAAATTCTAAAAATTCAAAAAAAATTCCAAAAATCCCAACAGATTGCGCAGTGCGCGGGCTCTTAAGCATGCGCAATAGGTGAAAATTCTAAATTATTTCTAATTCAATTGTAAACAATACTAAAAAATTCTAAATAATTCTAGAAAATGCTGAAAAATACTAAAAAATGCTAAAAAATACTGATAATTCTAAAAAATTCTAAGAAATTCTAAAAAATTCTATCAGTTTGTACACCAAAATTCTAAGGTGGTTTCCCCCTCGATTTTTTCAGAAAGTCTCTTGTCATCTTATTGATTAAAAAAGAAGGGCCAATGACGGACTGTCAATTCAACAAATAAGAAAGATTACTTTACAATCAATTTTTGTCTATTCCCGGCTCTTGAACTTAACTGCCAATGGTCACTTCTGTCAAATTGTACAACGAATTATTTGTCAAATAATTGTGCACGTGTCAATCCATGGCCAACTTGATGGCATATTTTTTCAAAAAGTCTTTTGCCACTCTCATTGATTAGAAAAGGAGGGCCGATGACGGACTGTCAATTCAACAAATAATAAAAATTACTTTACAATCAATTTTCGTCTATTCCTGGCTCATGAACTTAACTGTCAATGGTCACTTCTGTCAAATTGTACAAGGAATTATTTGTCAAATAATTATGCATGAGTCAATTCATGAGAACATGCGACCTCTATTGACATATTTCAATCATTCTAGCTAGCAAATGTAGAGGAAGGCGGGGCTAGATCAAAAATTTATAGAAAATTCAAATAATAAGGAAATAAGCTGCTAGTTAGTAATTAGTGCTGAATAAGTTAATAAATGGAGAGGAGAGGGGAAAATTATGCAATCCTTACACAAATCTCAAGTGATTACTGAATACCTGCACAGTTTTCATCCATAAAGGAAGTTTTGACCTTAAGAAGAAAAACATTGCTTGACTTGACTTGATTATTAGAGCGTTTTTACCAAATAGTTGATTCCTAAAATACACCTTTCTTACCTAGGAGCCAAATCTTCAGGTATGGCCAAAGGCAGAAACGGAGGCCTAGGACTCAAACTGTCAATAATAGGCAAATTGACAACTTGAGTCTCAGCGCGTCCTGGCCAATTGGAGACGCTCTCTCCTGTAGGACTGGTACAAGTATCGCTCAGAGGCAAAAAAATCTCCTCCCAGCCGCTTTTGTGGTACCGCCAACCTTTGGATTTTAAAATCAAGGTTCTTTGGGTACCATAGGCGACCATGAAGCAGTAGACAGTGTGATGTAGTTGACAGCCATAACCGCAGCCCTTGTTAAGGCTGCAGACTAGTTTTCTGGCATTGGAGCAGTCTTGGGGGTTTTGTAAAAACTCGAAACGTTTTTGGACCAAATCACTTAACTCTTGGGACTCTTTGTGGCGCCAGTCTTCATAGCCGTCGACCAGCGACAGCTGATTTATGTCGTTTATTAGGGACCTATAATGCTCCCCGCCTAGAGTCATAATTTGTTCAAAGTCAATGGTTTTTTCATTGGTACTTTTAAGACTTGATTTAATGAAATTCCAAAACTCTTTTGTGTTTGAATAAATTCTACGTCTGAGCAATTCATATTCGAGGTTGGGTTCTTCTTTGGATGTTATCTGTAGTGATTTTTTGTGGTCTGCCTTTGTGAGACGTCTCTGAAAGTTCTCTATAGCTTCCTTTTGGTCATCGCTTAGATTACTAGAAAATAAAGAGATATAATTCATTTCGTAGTAAGTTCTTAAAACATACTTGAGACTAATCTCCTTAAAAATATCTCTTAATTCTTCGTTTTGCTTCCTCAAAATTTCCAAATCTGTTACCGCTCGTAATAGTCTCTCGGAAGACCTCTGATCTAAACTACTAGCCGAATTAAGGCCAGGATAGGCCGCCAATAGTAAAACTACAACGAGCCATAAGGCGAGAAACGCGACAATGATTCTATGCCAGCCTATAGTAGAAACTTGCCTCAGGACACTCATATTTCTAAACGGCCTCAGAACGGATTTACTACTGGGGTCATTGTATTGTTTGCGGGGAGACAGGAAACGGCCGCAATTAATTTATAATAAACATTTTTAGTTCTATTGTAGTGGCCTGTGAACAAACTCCCCCTTTATTGACGTCAACATGCATATAACCTCAAACACAAATTTTAATGTGACGTTTGGGGACATCTAGTGGGCGATTTGAAAAATCATTCATTGCAGTTTCTTGTAAACCGGCCCTAAGAATTTTTATGACAATTATGAGCCAAATGAGCCATAATTATTGCTTTTTTACTTCACAAAATTAAAATAGTGAAATACCATTGGAAATACTCACAAATATGTATTGGCGAAAATCGGCCATCAATAGATGGCGCTGTAAATTGGCAATATGTACAGTGGCTAAATAAACCTTTACATACAGTGGCGACATAAGAGGTCCCGCCGCCATCTTGTTACTTTTAAATATTAATAAATAGGATTTAAATGGACATCTATCATAAAAAATTGAAATCGACGTATTTGATGACCATTATTATGTCCATCAAATACGTTGTTTTCCATGATTTATGATGGATGTTCACCTAAATCCCATATATTCATATTTAAAAGTAACAAGGGGTTGGGAACAAGATGGCGGTGTTTTCAATGTAAATATATGGGATTTTAGAACCATTCAAAAATGAGACAGCAATTGTCGCCACTGTGGGTTATAGAGTCACTGTAGCAATATGACGCCTATAGCAGTGAACAACAATCGAATGATCCGCGCGCGAATCACTAGATATTTTTTGTTGTGTTTCGTAGTTTCGTGTGTGTTTTCAGATTGCGAGATTGACGTTTTCTTTATAATTTTGTTGTTATTGAATGATTTGATGAACTTTACCAAAATATTGTGGTTATTCTTTGACATTCTTTGTGATATAATGATTTATATTGGGGACAAAAGTAGACCCCTTATAGAAGGAGAAGCAACATATAAAGCAGGGCACGTAATACTTTGTGGCTTGAAAGAGGGCACAAATATCAAAAGTTTGTGTTTGCAGACCTTTTCTTTAACTTCCAAACTCCATGAAATTTCAATTATCTTGGATAAATAGGTATGTAAAGAAGTGGAAATGCGTTTGTTCCTGTAGAGCTGGAATGTTTGGCTTTTGAAAACACATTGTTGCAAGTGTAATTTATGTGAACGTTTTAATAAAATCTATCACTTTTCAAACTCACTTTCAATATGAACAATCACTCAAAACATGTAGGTATTCTAACCTAAAAAATTCGTTTGATTACAAAAATACAAATATCCCCAATGATGCTATATGAAAGTTTTTTGTCACAATACTCTTAATATATGAAGATTATTAGTTTTTGAGGTAAATTTCGGTCGAAATACTTTAGTTTGAACACAAAAATCGTAAATTAATTTTGGCTTCCTATAACGATACATACAATTTGGCGTTGTTGTTCACTGATATTTCAGTTCATACATTCGATAATAGATGTCGCCCACTTTGAAATTTTCGCGAATAGTTATTCACAAACTGGCAACCCTGAATCAGGGTCAACTGTCAACCTCTAACACTCTAACCTAACTTAATAGTTTTGTCAATATTTTTGTTTTCATTCCCAAATTTCTCATTCATAAAAACTACTAAGCTAAGAAAATACTACTCTACCCTTATATTGTGATTTTTTATTTATTCTTCAAGAATTTTTTCCATTTAAATTTATTTATTTTTAATTATTTTAACGTGGCAAAAGTCCAAATCCATCAAAACCATGTACTCAAAAAGTCAAAGAGAGCCTGACGATGGGCCTGCAGAGCTGGAAAGTCAATTCATTCTGAGGCTACCTTTGGTAAGTAAATTTTCCAGGTTAAAATTAACTTAGCTTGGTTTTTGAATAGTCCTAGGCCACTCGCACATACTAGAAATATGGGCAAATTCTATTTTTTGACACAGATACATGATACATGTATGCGACCGAGAATGAACGTAGCGTTCCAACCCACATGAGAACCGTTCTAAAACGGTAATTTCCAGTTCATCAACTCATTTGTCAACTAGAATAAACCTTCGACTTAGCGAAAAATAGAATACCTAGGTGGTCAACTAGAAATTACTGGTTCTGAAACTGTTCTTGTGTTGATTGGAACAGAGCAGAGCTTTTTATTATTCTACGTCTTGTGACCGAAAACTCCCTCTTATTGGCTGAAGCTGATATTCATGCAAAATCATGTGACTAAAAATGCTGTCTCATTGGCTAAAGTCTATATTCTTCCAAATCATGTGATTAAAAACACCTGCTAATTGGCTAGACCCATTAAAGCCGATATCCATGTGCTTTGTTGCTACATTTGGAAATGCGAAATATCACTGCCTGTTAGCATGAATACCATGTTTTTTCCTATCAACTTACCTATTCCTATTCAAAGATGATACACACTACTACACAGGATTGCTTATTGGCCTCGTTTTTGGGAATTGCGGCCATTGTGTGTGTGTGTGTAGCACCAATGACGACGTCATCAACTACATCGTCAACAAAAGGCACTGCTGGCTTCTTAAGCATAACTTTACTTTCGATAGGGGGACAAATCACGTTTAAACTCACATAACATCACTTCTGATAGGGGGACAGACATATCATTGAGATAAACGCATGATATTTCTCAAATGAACCATCTTTTACCTGTTCAAATAAGTCGAGCACATTGATGTTTTTTGTTCCCCCATCAAAAGTAATGTTATGTGTGTGACGTCAGCTAGTGCCTAAACACCTTTCGTCAAGGCGAGAATGTTGAGTAAATTTCACTTCATCTGGAAATTTTACTCTGAAATTTTCGCGAAAACATTGAAATTTTTGAAATTTCCGTGAAATTTTAAAAATTTCTGAATCTTCCTGAAAAAATACCTATTTTCCTAACAAGGGCGGGAGGCGAAATTTCCGATACAAGTGTGCAAAGCGCCCGAGTGCCGGAAATTTCTTCCCGCAAGCTTTAGGAACTATGTATATTTTTTCTACAAGCGTACTAAAGTAAAGGTGAAGTTACGAAAAATGTAATTTAAATAAAATGCGACTGTGCAGAAGGTAAAATTAAAAATCTACTAAACAAGATATTTATAAAAAAAAGTAAAGATAAAGGTGTATCAAGAATACAAACAATTTGACGTCAAAGGGATTATTTCAAACTCCTCCCGCACTAGTGCGGGAACAAAGTCTGCCCGCACAACAGATAGTGCAAAAGGAGCCATTTCCCGTACGCTCGCGTTCCAACAATCCAAAGCAAAACAACCAGAGAGCAGCGTTGCGAGTTATGGCGATGCCATTATTGCCAATACCTCCTTGTATTTCCTTTTTGAAAATTACGATGAAATTTATGAAATTTCTAGTGAAACATATGAAATTTTCTACAAAGTTTGGAAAATTTCATATTTGAATATTTCAAACATAAGAATTTCATACAACCCTCCGAGAAACGATACGCTACGCTGCGTACGTCAACACTACTGGTTGTGTGGTGTGGTGGGGGCTTGAGATTCAAGCACGCGGAATCATAATGAGGTGCAAACACCTTACGTCAATGCGAGAAACGACACGCTGTCCACGTCATCAGTGGTTCTTTGGAGAGGCGAGGGGCATGAGATTTGATATACACAGGCCTTATGAGGATAAGCTATCTTGTAATAATAGTGTATACATTATCCTTGGGTTGCCTGCAAGGTTGTTTGAAAGAGATAGGTTGCCTCTTAAGGCCCTTTTACAGCTTGCAATTCTATCTGCAATATGCAAGAAACTTGAACGAGGGCATGTGCAGAAGTGAGTCAGCTGATTCTTGAAACTTGAATGGCATTGCATGCAATCGGTTTGGTGCCATTTTTCTTGAAAGTTTTCGTGCAAGCTGGGGAATTTTCAGCAATTATGATGCTTAAAGTTGCTGCTATTGCTTTCTTCTTTTTATATCGACTTATAATCACTTTTTTTAGTTTTGGAAAATGCAAACATCAACAACACAACATTAAAAACAAAAAAGTATGGTTAAGGTTAGAGAAAGAAACAAGTCAAATTGCAAGGTGTAAAACGACGTGCAAGAAATCTTGAATGCAATTTTTTTGCGTGCAATAAATTGCATTCAAGTTTTCTTGCAAGCTGTAAAACGGCCTTTAGAGCAGGTAAAGGTAAAGAGGAGTAGTAAGCTGGATTTGGAAAATGAAGCCTTTTTTTCCAAGTATTTTGGCACCAAAAAAATGGCGGTATAGGCAATTTAATGCTTTACCTGTATCTTGGTGCCAAACACCTGCCAAAAACTTGGCTTCACTTTAGTTTCATAAGCAGAATGGCGCGTTCCTACTCCTTATGTCCATAGGACAGCGCTTTCCTACTCTAAGGGTTGCCTGGACTGGGAGTCTGTAACGGATAGAGATCGTTATTCTTATCGCTATGATTTTTGTTGTCTTCTTTTCTCTTTTCGAAATCAATAGCAGTTAAAGAAAATATCTCTATTCGTTACAGAATCCCAGCTCTGATAACTTTTATGACGTCATCTGGCGTGCCTAAACATAATGCAAATCTCTATTAGGTATTCCTGATGACGTCATCTGCTTATCATTACCAGAACCCATTAACTTTAGGAACTTTGCATTACCATATTATCCTTATTGGTAATGGCGTCAAGAGATACAGATTTCAATAAACATTTGGCAACATAGAGAAAAACTTAGGTTCATCACAAGGTTGTTGGTTCATTATACTAGGTAACAACAGTAAACTTGTAACAGTTCACCGATTATACCTATCCTTTATTAATAAAGGACACGAATAGGCTGCGATATTAGAAGTTTCCGCTTTGTAATGTAATAAAAGCTGTGGTGATACAATACCTTAATTCACGTTTTATAATAATGTCCTAATGACAAATTCGACACCCTCGCATTTTTATTGATTTTAGGAAATCCGACGTCATAGTCCGTGCGTCTAGAAATGCGAGTTCCAAATAAAAAAAAAAAGTATACAAATGGTATTAGAAATACCTAACACTCTAAGGGCCAGTTTATTCATCTTCTGATAAACTATCAGGTATGCAATCTAAAAGATAAAACTGCAATCTGTAATCCCATTGGTCGGCCAGTTATTCGCCGACCAATAGAATCTTAGAACGGTACATTTATCTTGCAGATAGTTACCAGCAAGTTTATCTGAAGATGAATAAGAGCTGGTTTATTCACTTTCTGATAAACTGTCACCAGGTATGTAATCTAATCTGATGGATAAAAACGCAATCTGGAATTCCATTGGTCGGCCAGTTATCAGCCGCCCAATAGAATTATAGATAGGTGAATTCATCTTGCAGATAGTTACCAGGAAGTTTATATGAAGATGAATAAACCGGGCCTTATTCAAATATGTTTTTGAAAAATGTAAAAGCAGCCTATTGTTGAGGTCGGAGAAGTTAGCAGCACATTGGAAGCAGGATTTTTAATAGTACATTATTCAACGACCGGGTAATGATGGCTATTACTCACGAAGGATGAAGTTTGCATGACGAGCCGCAGGCGAGTAGTGTAATCATCCGAGTGAGTAATAGCCATTAGCCTCGAGTAGAATACTATACTTTTTCTATGATTAATACATAATAGGCACGAGTTATGCGGTTTTCAATTTTATTTTCGTAATAAAATTAATTGACAATTCTGACAGCTGGAGGACAAAGTGAGGTTAGGTTAGCACAAGTCTTGTCCAAATCAGCTGTCAAAATGACCGATTGGTAGGTTGAAGTATGTTGTCAACTTGTCGAATTTTTAAATAGTGAGGTAATGAGACCAGGATATTTTCATTGGTTGAAAACAATTGAGTAAGGAAAAAAAAAACTCACTGTATGAGTAATCATTCACATTGATCAATGGAAAATGGATGTATATTACGTATATTATTCAATACTCATATCGTTTTCGAAATATGTATATCGATTTCCATTTTGGTTGCTAACTTCACTCTTGGCAACACATGGGAAGCAGGATCACTGAAACAGGTTCATGCTTGTGTTACTCTGGTCCTGCCTCATCCTGCTTTAAATCACACCCCAGCAACACTTACTATTTTCGAGATATAGGGAGTTTCCATTATGGTTGGTAACTTTACCCTTAGCTTGGCAAACTCATTGGAAGCAGGATCGCTCTAAAATGTTCCTGCTTGCGTTGCCTGCCTCAAACTGCTTCAATCACCCCAGCAACAACTAATATTTTTGGGATACACACTGGTAGCATTACAAGAGTCTAGTTGTAGGAATACGGCGAGCTCGAGACACCGATGCCAAATGGATCGTAATGAGTGCTTGTCTCTTCCAATATGTTGCTAATTTCCACGACATCTAATAAATTCTAAACCCTCCAACACGAATGTTTATATTTTTCTTTATTAGGAACCAGCCAAAGTCCTTCGTGACGCCCTCCGTAACTCAGAACCCCTTAAAGACAGGTTCTCCATCAAAATCGAAGACGATTTGCGTCACACCGAAGTCCGCCTCGACCAGTGGTTGTTTCCAGGCAAAGTAGTAGACCTACCAACAGTCATCGAAACCCTGAAAACCATCGACAACAAAAACTTTTACAAAACGGCCGATTTGTGTCAGATGCTGTTGTGCAAAGAGGAAGAGGATCAGACCACTGACGAAGAGTGCACGCAAAAAAAGAAAAAAGACTCCAACAAGGTTGACAAAAAGTATTTGTGGCCTCACGGAATCACGCCGCCTACAAAAAACGTACGCAAGCGCAGATTTAGGAAGACTTTGAAGAAAAAATACGTCGAAGCTCCAGAAATTGAAAAAGAAGTCAAAAGATTGTTGAGGCACGACAACGACGCTGTCAGCGTCAAGTGGGAAGTTATCAACGAAGATGACGAAAATAAGGTCAACAAAGGGACTGTTGTCATTAAAAAAGAAGTCATTGATAGCGATTTACAACCCAAAGTGGCCGAAGATGACATCTTTGGTGGAGCTGTCAGTGATTCTGACGATGACGATGCTCATTTGAATGTGTTAGATGTTATTGATGAGAACAGTCAGAATAGTAATGATGATAGTCATTTGACTGATTCAAATTCTGTCATGGTAGGTAATTGTTCTGATCATTAAAAAATTCTATCCTTGATATTTTTTTTTTCTAGAACAATTCAGCAGATCAAAAACTTGTCACCGAATTCACTAGTGACATGTTTGAAGCCTCCAGCTCTATGCTGCAAGATGTAGACTACTACGGCCATTCTTCATCAAACATCACATACTCTGATCAAACGTTGAGCTTCGTCGAACCCACCTTAAATAAAGGCAAGAATCTATTTTACCTTTTTTATTCAATAAAAATATTGGTAAATTCTAGACTCCATTGAGGCCAAGCTGGAAGACTTAACATTGGAATTGAACGATATCAAAACTCGTAGGGTTGAGCAGGAGATGAAGATAGAGAGTATTGAAAATTTGACTTTGAGGCAACGTTTTCAGTCCAATGTTGAACGTTTGCTGCAAGAGCAAATTGAGAAGGAACATGATATTTATGAGATGCAAGATCTAATGAAACAATTTGATTAATAATTGAAGTTTTCTTATTTACTTTATTTTTTTTATTATTTACAATTATGTATAGTCTTATATCTGACACTTAGGTAGGTATATCATAATGAATGTATTTTTGCAAGTGCAATTTTTTTTATTATTTAGTTATTAGTCTATTTATTATTATTGTTGCTAGATCATTCTTTTTTTTCTTCTCTTAATCTTAGGGTTAACTTCAAAATATACCTACTTTTTTTCTGCACCAGGCATTTAGGTAGTAACAATTTGTAAAATTTTGCTGCGGAATCTTGGAAAATTGAAATCTATGGTTGGAAAAAGTACAATTTATTTCTACTAGTTTTGCTCTATATTTTATTAACATGTCATTATTAAATCACAAATATAAAACCTGCCTAATTTCTTTAAGGTTCAGTTTATTCATCTTCAGATAAACTTGCTGGTAACTCTGCCAGATAAGAAGAAGAAGAAATAAAAAAAAGCAAAAAGACACTTACCTACCAAAAACAATAACTCTGTAAGCAGTGTGGGAGCTAACACATCATGACAAAACCAAACACCTATCGAAGTTCACAAAAAACACCTTGTTATAAAAGGCAAGTGTAAGTAAAGGATAAATAAAAGTGGGCCTATATAGGGACCAAATGCAAAGATGTCCACAAATCATGGAACCATCAGAAGGTGATCTGATCAGGCGATCAGAGTCCTTATTCTTGAAACAGGGGAGCAGCGTTCCTAGGAGAACGAGTGTTCGGTCATTGTTACTTACATTATCATTTGCATATCATTGAGAAAGACAAAACACTCGTTCTCCTGGGAACTTTGCTCCCTTGTTTCAAGAATAAGGACCCAGGGATAAAACATTTATATAGGATTATAGTTACAGGTGTCCATAAATTATTATTATTATTATTATTATTTGCTTGACAATAGAAAGCGGTTTGACAATGAGTCTTTCATAGTATCCTGGTTTAATGCATTTCACCGGTATACTACACGGTTGCATAAGAAGTTTTTTCTTAACGCTAAGGATGTTTTCTCTTTCTTGAGCTTCTTGTCATGTCCTCTGAGGTTTTTATTCGTGTTTTGTTGAAACATGTTTGCCATATACAGCATAAGTAGTGTCCAAACAGGATCTTATAGGTCTCTATTAAGTCGCCTCTTTCTCTTCTTTCTTTCAGAGTTGTTAAGTTAAATCTTTGAAATCTGATATCATATGGAAGAATATGCGTTCCATTTTGGATTTTTGTGATTCTCCGTTGCACACGTTCAAGCAGCTCTATATCCCTGCAGTAATACGGGTTCCAGACTGTGTGAGCGTACTCAAGTTTGGGCCTTATGTAGGTTGTATCGACTTTCTTGATCATTTGGATATAGTGATTGGTAAAAGCCGTTTTTACTAGGTAAACCAACTGATTTGCTTTCTTCACATCTCGGCCTATGTGTGTTTTCCATTCAAGATCTTGGCTTACGTGCACGCCCAAATCTTTTTGTTGGTTAACATTCTCTAGCTTGGTTCACTAAATTTTGTAGTCAATCATCGGGTTATTTTTTCCTACATGCAGCACTGTACATTTCTGTTCGTCACTGGCGTAGCCAGAATTTTGTCTTGGGAAGATCTAATTTGCAACAAGTGTTTCTTGTTAGTTCACCGCAAGCTTGAAATTTTTGGATGCCAGGCCTTTTTACGATATTTTTGGGTATGTTTATTTCAATCTTGAAGATCTATTCATAAAATTTAAAGGTCAGTCGGCTAGTAATACATTTCACTGCTTTTGTCCTCCCAGACTGCTTGTCACGCCACTGATGCCAGAGCTGGAACGCCATTAAGACTGGCACTAGCTAATGGATACTTGTAAATTGACCTTGATCTCTATCTGTGTTACTTATGTCATTGGTTTGTGAGTAATGATTAATGACGCATTTAGAAAAAAAAAAAAGATTTACATCTGAAACCGAAATGTATTTAATTTTTAAAGTGAATACAATAACTATTATTATAACACAATATATACTTAATATCTATATGTAAACCCATCATACGGATCAAAAATGTTCCTCACAATTAATCGCACACTTGCAAATAAAACATCGCAAATCTAAAACTTTGAAGAGAAAAAAAAAATTAAATTGACTACCCTGGCACCATTGCCAGATTTTGTAGAAATCAGCCATACCATACATGAAGAAACAGTTTTATTCAATTTTCCTTTTAAGTGTAAACACAATTACCATCAACGATAAAAAAAAAAACTTGATACAGGAAAAAAATAAAAACATTATTATGAAATAAACTTAATATCTAAAAGAGTCTCTGTTGGAATTCCAAGGCGGATTGAATCCGGAATAGAAAGAAGGCGGTAACGGAGGTTCTGGAATCGGCCTACTAGTTCTCGGTGGCATCGGGTTGATAGCCTGCTTGCCCAACAATTGCGCAGCCGTCAAACTGGACAGCGGCTGGTTTCTCGGAATGGTTGCATAAAAGTCTGCGTCGCACACTTGCGTACTAACCGAAAAACTCATGTTCGGACCAGACGAAGCTTGTACGCCTGCGTTAGCATACAAAATACCTTTGCGTCTCAAACACTCTTTGCACGACGACAATTCTTTATCGGTCTGACAGCCGGTCGTCGCCCACGGTTTCGGTCTAGTTATGATGGAACAGGCGGTGGCGACACGGATTTGCGGTGCACCACTTCGGCGCGGTCGAATCGTTTGGCCAGACCCACTCGGCTCAGCAAAGTTTCGCAGCAGGTCGGAAATTCCATGTCGGCCAGCATGTTGTCGTTATCGGGTGCGAAAAATGGCATCGAGGCTTTTTTGCGGTTCAACGGCGACACGTTAACTTCTGGAGACTGCAAGGCATCCGTTCGACGTACGAACAAGGATCCGTGGCAAAACGGTTGGGATAGTTCTTTAATGGCGTCTTGGGCACGTCGGATAACTAATTTGTAGTTTGCAAACACGTTAATTTTGTTCAATGTTTGGAATAATTGAGTAACTTACCTTTGACTTTGTCCGATAATTTTGTCGACGCTGTGCTCGACAACGCTGTATAATTTCAATAAAATTTTATAGTTAATTTCATATTAAATTAGGCTGATGAATATTTCAATAAAAGTGTTTTCGATAAGTTGTAGAGCTGAGAGGTACTAGTGTTACTACCTTTAACTATTGGATCTTGGCAAATTCCAAATTTTTTTCTCAATCCTCTCTGTTGTCCAAGGAATACACTGTCTCACTCAAGAAGATTATAGGATGCTTGATGCTTTCCGGGAAAATAAAGCTTCTTGTAATTTTGGATAAAATTCAAGTAATAACTATATTATGTGTAATAGTTTCCATTTGTTAATGTTTTGATATTCTGGCCTTCTGTGACTTTAACAGCTGTGTTATATCTCAACATCAACAAGTCGGTTCTCACAAATCAGTCAGAGCGTTTTTGATTGTACCCCAAGACAGTTATAATTTTATTGGGAACAAAATAACATAAAGCTGCGACTATTCTAAATCGATAGGATTTATGATCCTGATGAACATACTAAAAGTCCTCAGACCTCCCCCTAGGCCCAAAATGGCACCGCCATCTTGGATTTTTGACGTTTTTTTCTTAATTTACGTTTTACTCGAAAACTACTCATTTTTCGAGAAAATATGAAGAAAAATAAATTAGAGAGCATAAAAAAACCTTTAAAAAGAGTTATTTTTGAACTTCTTGGGTACTACCATTGCTGAGATAGGAGCCGAAGAAGTACCGCCGAAATACCGCTTTCCACATCTTGTTGCGTTTTGTAGGAAATCTGATATAAATCCATTTTGAACGCTTCAGAATAGCTTTACCGTTACACTTTAATGAAAATTTTATTGTTTTATACAACAAATTCGACCAACGAAGTAGGTATAAGATTACTAACGTGTATTCTACCTACATACTACATATACATATAGAAACTTGTTTATTCTGTTATGATAGGTACAAACATATAACAACAATAGTTATTTAAACAACAAATTTTGAAAACGACTTTTTTCGCACGGCTGAGACAATTTAAACGAGTTTCTCACAATGCTTCTTCTACAACTGCAAAATAAGGAAACTAAGATTGTATTCTGATGAAAATGACTAATAATTTCACATAGATAAAAAAACGTAAACAATTTGACAAAAATTGACAACTTTACCTTCGTGTCTGTTTGTGTTAAATCAATATAGAGAATATACAGTGTGTCCCAGATTCGCTTCTCTATACAGGGATCTCGGCTCCTATTATACCTACAGCAAAGGTTAAATGAGGAAAGTTTTAGAGGAAGCTAAGTGCATCCAATAATCGGCTTCAGAATAACGATCGCTCAATTAGATTTGGAAATATCGGCGAAAAACCGAACATGATGGATTTCGTTTTCTGCCATTTAACACGAAACGGTTAATTTGACAGCTGTCAAAATGTGACATTATTCAGACACTTTTTCAAGACCAATTGACCTTTTGTTTGGACGCCATATTGCGGTGCGCGAACATAGTTGCCAACAGTAGAAAAAAAAATTATTAGCGTTCTGTCAACTTTAAAATCTAAAGTTAATGAATAAATTACATTTAAAATTTAAATTTACCGCCTATCACGAATGTTTTTGGAAAGAAAAACCATCAATTTTAACTTGTATTGAGCAGAATAGAAATAATAAAATATCTAGTTGACAGCCCGCTAGTAATTTTTGGTTTTCTTGTTTTGGCAACTATGTTCGCGCACCGCAATATGGCGTCAAAACAAAAGGTCAATTAGGCAATTTAATCCATCTGTCAAAAAGGAAAATTCAATATGGCGTGGCGGCCAAGCAAGCTTGTTTTGAATTTGTTTTTATGCGTATTTTAAATTATTTTGCTTAGAGTTTTGCTTGTAACTTTGATTTTGATTATTTAATACGATATTTGTTGACTAGGTACCTAAACTATCAAATCGGGTAGAAACTAGATATTTTTTTGTGTTTTTTGGCCCATGTGTGGCCGCCACGCCATCTTGAGTGTCACGTGATTTGAATTGCCTAATGAGATAGCGTGCATGACAGGTCTCAATCGTCTTTCATTATCCCGCAACCCGCCTCAACTTCCATTTTTCTTATGACCGCCATATTGGATTTTACGATTTTTGAAAAAAGCATACAATTTCCAGTCTAGTAGTATCATCGAAAAATCACACTTCGTAAAGTTAATGTCTGGCCAACGATTCTGAGGCTACGGAGCATCGGTGAAGGAAATGCAGTTGTAAAAAAAATGGCGGTACTTTATTCATAAACTACTTACCCAGCTGGGTGCGGAACTTTTCGGACGTATAATATCGTATTGCAACTCGTCCACGAAAATCGACAATGACCAAACCACCACCACTGGATATTTCAATGTAAGTCTATATTTCAAGATGGAAGGATAAAATTACGGGTACCCTGGGTAATAGCGAAACGTAAGTCCCATGACAACCGCATGGTTCCCCATGGCAACGGGCGCAACGGCGTTCCAAAATCTCCACCAATCACGTTCATCCAGGCCGGATGTTTGCCACATGGACAAAAGCTAATGGTATGTTTAGAAAATGTTTTCTTTTGAGAATAGACAGAATAGACCTATCTCGCATAAATAGAAAAAGAGAGCTAAATTGTGATAAATACAAGTTAGAAAGTAATAAAAGATGACATGCGCGCGCAACTTAGGGCTACAGTGTAGCCAGATTGTATTGTTGCAGAACAAATGAAGAAGTGATATTTTAGTCTCAAGTGTTTTACAACGGCTCAAATCAGACAAAGGAAGAGCTTTAAAGTGTATGTAAACATCGTTTGCACTTTTACTTTATGATAAATAATAGGTCTGTTTCTGCAGAAATCACAAACCAGTCGGAGCGAATTTCATTGGTTGAAAACAGTCAGAAAACTAGTGTCAACCAATGAAATTCACTCTGACTGGTTTGTGATTTCTCCAGATACAGACCTATTATTTATCATAAAATAAAAGTGCAAGCGATGTTTACATTCACTTTATTAAAGCTCTTCCTTTCTCTGATTTGAGGCGTTGTAAAACACTTGACACTCAAATATCACTTCTTCAATGTTATAATGTTCGATTTGTATTGTCTAGATTTGTTCTGCAACAATACAATCTGGCTACACTGTAGCCACGAGTTGCGCGCGCATGTCATCTTTTATTACTTTTTAACTTGTATTTATTACAATTAAACTCTCTTTTTCTATTCATGCGAGATGGGTCTATTCTGTCTATTCTCAAAAAAAAAAACATTTTCCTAAACATACCATTACCTCTTGTCAATTTGGAAAACATGCGGCCTGGATGAACGTGATCGGTGGAGTTTTTGGCACGCCGTTGCCATGAGGAACAATGCGGTGGTCATGGGGCTTACGTTCCGCTATTGGCCAGGGTACCCGTAATTTTATCCTTCCATCTTAAAATCTCCAGTGGCGGTGGTTTGGTCATTGTCGATTTCCGTGTACGACTTGCAATACGATATTATACGTCCGAAAAGTTCCGCACGAAGCTGGGTAAGTAGTTTATGAATAAAGTCAGCCATTTTTTTTTACAAATGCATTTTCCTCACCGATGCCCCGTAGCCTCAGAATCGTTGGCCACACATTAACTGTACGAAATGTGATTTTTCGATGATACTCAAATCTTTTATCCACTTGTGAGACATCACTAGACTGGAAATTTTATGCTTTTTTCAAAAATCGAATAATCCAATATGGCGCCCATAATAAAAATGAAAGTTGAGGCGGCTTACGGAAAAACAAAAGACGATTGAGACATGTCATACACGCTATCTCATTGGTCTTGAAAAAGTGTCTGAATAATGTCACATTTTGACAGCTGTCAAATTAACCGTTTCGGGTTAACGGGCAAAAAACGAAATTTGTCATTTTCGGTTTTTCGCCGATATTTCCAAATCTAATTGAGCGATCGTTATTCTGAAGCCGATTATCGAATTCACTTAGCTTCGTCTTAAACTTCCCCCATTTAATCCTTGCTGTAGGTATAATAGGAGCCGAGATCCCTGTATAGAGAAGCGAATGTGGGACACACTGTATACAGGGTGTCCAAGAAATAGCGTAAAAGCTCTCCACTACGTAGTAGAGGACCCTTAAGGAACCCCAGAAAAATAATTTAAAAAATCCAGTGGCATTCTTAAGAAAGTTATTAACATTTTAATGTTTATTAAAATTGGCAACACTGAAAATATCCCGTTGACAATTTGCCACAGAATTAAATTAAATACCTATGTAATTACCTGGAAAATGTATAGTGCGAAAATAAAACAGCATGCGTTTTTTTTCGCACGCTATGTGAAAAACTCAAGTTTCAGCGGTAGCCTAGCGTGCGAAAAACTCCATTTTCAGAAGCCGTGAAAGGTGTTTTTACTAGCGTGCGGATAAGCCCACTTTCCGCACGCATTTCAGTTTTGAAAGTGTCACTTTTCTGCACTGGTTTGGAAAGGGAAAATATCTAAAATTGTATTTGAAATTAGTAGAGGTACAAGTATCAATTTTCATCTAGTACAAGAAATATCGTTCCATACTCGTGCGGAAAGTCTCTTTTCCTCACTTGATTGCTTGGCAGAACCCCGCTTCGCATCGTTCGGCCAACTGTAATTGCGTGCGGAAAAGTGACACTTTCCGCACGCGAGTACGCATATTAGAAATACGTTTCAAGTCTTGTTCTTGAAATATCCTGCTAGGTAATGCTTTTCTCTCAAAAAGAAAAATATAAAAATCCTATGTCGGCGGTACTCCATCGGCTCCTATCTTGGTAAGGGTACTACCGCGGATGTTCAGTGGTACCTATGTACCTCAGATTTAATTCTTCGATTTACGTCTCTTTATATTTTTTAAAAAGTGAGTGGTTTATGAGTAAAATGAAAAATGGGCAAAAAATTGTTTTTTGACAGTACTTCTTTGGCTCGTATTTCAGTGAGGGTAGTACCCAGGAAGTCCAAAAATAACTTTTTCTAAAGGATTTTTTGTGCTCTTCAATTTATCTCTCCTCATATTTTCTCGGAAAATGAGTAGTTCTTAAGTAAAACGTCAATTAAGCAATAAATGTCAAAAATCCAAAATGGCGGCGCCCTTTTGACAATGTTCCCCTAAAAGGAGGTCTGGGGACTTTTAGTATGTCTATCAGGACCATAAATCCTATCGATTGAGACTAGTCGCAGCTTTATGTTATTTTGTTCCCAATTTACCATATAAGATTTTTTTAACTGTCTTGGAGTATTGGTACAAATCGCCAGCAACCCGTTTTATGACTGTTTTCAACCAATTAAATTCGCTCTGATAGTACTCCAAGACAGTTAAAAATTCTTATATGGTGAATTGGGAACAAAATAACATAAAGCTTCGACTAGTCTCAATCGATAGGATTTATGGTCCTGATTCTGATGAACATACTAAAAGTCCCCAGACCTCCCCCTAGGGGAACATTGTCAAAACGGCGCAGCCATCTTGGATTTTTGACATTTTTTGCTTAATTTACGTTTTACTCAAAAACTACTCATTTTTTGAGAAAATATGATAAGGGATAAATTGAAGAGCACAAAAAAACTATTAATTAATTATTTTTGGACTTTCTGGGTACTACCCTTACTGAGATAGGAGTCAAAGAAGTACTGTCAAAAAATAAATTTTTGCCTAATTTCCATTTTACTCATAAACCACTCACTTTTTAAGAAATATAAAGTGACGTAAATCGAAGAAATAATGGGTCGATTTTGTGCACATCTGTGAGCAAATCTATAAATTTCTATAAGCCTATAGCTGCCTAAAGATAATTTGCAATTCTGCACTTTCTGTAGATTACAGAATATCTTATAGGATCGTACATATCCCCGATCGGGTGTTTGGCAATTGATGCGTTTTCCAGTGTCTATAGGCTTATGGAAATTTATAGATTTGCTTATAGATGTGCACAGAATTGACCTGCAAATCTGAGGTACATAGGTACCACCGAACATCCGTGGTAGTACCCTAACCAAGATAGGAGCTGATGGAGTACCGCCGACATAGAATTTTTTTATTTTAATTTTTGAGAGAAAAGCATTAGCAGGAAATTTCAAGAACGTGACTTACATATTTCTGATATGATTGATACTTGTACCTCTACTAATTTCAGATACAATTTTAGATATTTTCCCTTTCCGCAGCAGCCAAGGATGATATAATAAAATATGGGAGCGCTTCTTAGTATCCCTTTACGGGACATATCAACAATAATATTAGATGAACTTAGATTCAAAAAATACAATGCTACCACCGCCAGGCAAAATATTAACACAAACTTTAATTTGGCTGGTCTTCCTCCCACTACAGATGATGCAAAATTCCATATCTTCAGAATTTATTTTCAAATACAAGAGCGGTTGGGCTACTTTCCTGATTCATTGGAATGGGGATGGAAAGATGTAAATGAAGAGCTACATCCCATTCCAATGGAACAAGAGGTAGCTCAAGAATTTATTTTAAAAATTATTTTTTCGCACGGCGAGACATTTTGTTGGACCGAGCCGTAGGCGAGTTCCATAAGTCGAGCGAGTGTGAAAAAAGGTTTTCAAACGAGTTTTTTACAATGCTTTTCCTACAACTGCAAAATAAAACAACCAAATATGTAATTTTTATTTTTTAGAAAACAAATCATCATCAGAAATTGGTGACAATCACCATTTATGTCATGTCAGGATGATAGGCAAAAGCAAATAGAAAACTAATGAGCAGCGCGTGAAAAACTTTTTCGCACGCGTGCGAAAAACTCTATTTTCAGAGGTTGCCTAGCGTGCGAAAAACTCCATTTTCAGAGGCAGTTGTAGGAAAACTCGTTTAAACTGTCTCGGCCGTGCGTAAAAAGTCGTTTTCAAAATTTGTTGCTACAATAACTAAACTATTATTGTTATATGTTTGTACCTACGTATCATAACAGAGTAAACAAGTTTCTATATATATATATATATATGTAGTATGTAGGTAGAATACACGTTGGTAATATTATGTTTCGTTGATCGAATTTGGTGTACAGTACCAAAACAATAAAATTTTCATAAAAGTGTAACGGAGAAACTATTCTAAAGCATTTTAAATGGATTTATATCAGATTTCCTACAAAACGCAACAACATTCAAGTTATATTAGCTTGCACGTGGAAAGCGGTGTTTCGGCGGTAATTCTTCGGCTCCTATCTCAGTAAGGGTAGTACCCAGGAAGTTCAAAAATAACTATTTTTAAAGGTTTTTTTATGCTCTCCAATTTATTCCTCTTCATATTTTCTCAAAAAATGAGTAGTTTTCAAGTAAAACGTAAATTAAGCAAAAAATGTCAAAAATCCAAGATGGCGACGCCATTTTGAAAATGTTCCCCTAGGGGGAGGTCTGGGGACTTTTCGTATGTTCATCAGGACCATAAATTCCTTTCGATTTGGACTAGTCGCAGCTTTATGTTATTTTGTTCCCAATAAAATTATAACTGTCTTGGGGTATAGGTTTGTGATTATTATGTGAGAACAGACCTAACATCACATCATCATCAATTATTACAGCAGCCCTAAGTCCAATCAAAAACACTTCTACATCACATTCGATCAAACCCATCGTTGGAGAGTAGGTACCTCCCAAAATCCAATAAAAAAAATAATTACAACCCGTGTTGCTAAATTGTGCATAAAATCACTAAGAAACCAATAAAATAAATGAATAAAAATAAAACAACATTTCACCTGGTTTAGCAGTAATAGCCAAAAAATCACTAAGCTGTATCCTCTTGTCGTTAAACAACTATAAAAAAAAAACATTAAAATTACAACAAACAATCATTACAATAAAACAAAATCATTACTTGTCCGACATCGTTGCGTTGAGGCGCTGATTCCTGTCGGCTCACAGTAGGCGACTTTTTTATTGGTGCACCAATAAAAAAACTCTCATCATATTGATCGAAAGGATCATAAGGCTCCGGAGGCGGCTGTTCCTGTGGAAGAGGCGGCACGAAAAAGTGAACTTCCTGATGAGGCACGGCCTGAGGCGGCATTGCCGGAACCGGCATCGGTGCCATCGGCACCAAATTCCCATAAACCTGATTATTACCCTGGAATTGTTGTTGCGGCATGTAATTTAATTTGCAATTCAACTTGGCGGCGATTTCTTCCAGGAAACTCGGTTTGGGACTTCTGCTTCGGCTTCGGCGCATTTTCCGACGAGGGCTATAGGAGGGGCTTCGGCGACGTCTCCAACTTCTGTTGAAGATCGGACTTCTGGAACGGCGTCTGGTTAAGCTGGGGCTTCTGGATCGGCGCCTGGTTAAGCTGGGGCTCCTGGTGCGTCTCAGGCGACGTCTGGGAGGACTGGGCGATAAAAGTCTCGGACGTCGTGGCATCAATGGGGAATGAATGCGAGGTGGGGAACGAGTTCTGGAGCGGGTCATGCGCGGTCTGGATCTGGATCTGCGAGGTCTGGGTAGTTCGTCGTTGCGCGGTCTCAATGTTAGAGGACTTTTGGAACGTTTCCTTGGAGGCGATTTGGAGCGTTTTTTTGTTGGAGTTTTTGAACGTTTTTTTGATGGGGTTTTGGAAGGTTTTTTTGATGGAGTTTTGGAACGTCTCCTACTCTTTTTCGGATTGTCCGCGCTCAAGTTTCTAGGACGTAATTTTTCTCGCAGATCGCGTATTTTTGGTTGGTATTTTACCTGTGCCATGTCCACTTCTAGTTCCATTCCGGGCGGTACCAGGCCAGTTTCGACAATGTCGTTAATGAGTTTCTTGGCACTTTTGATTTTGTCTTGTTGGATGGCTTGTCTTGTTTTCTCCGGGTCTCTGCGTATATCGAAATTGTCCACGTCTAGTTTCGATTTGTTGTCTGGCTTTTTTGAGACTTTGTTTCGAATTTCGTCGAGCTCCTTGTCCAACTGTTTCAGCTCCTCGTCGCGTTTACTAGGTTTTTTGACTTTTTTCTTTGGTTCTTCAGATTTTTTGACTTGTTCCTTGGCTTTCTCAGGAGGTTTCGATTCTCTGTTAGTTTCCTCGTTGGTGATGTTATCTTCAAGGTCTTCGTCGACGATGTCTAAACCGGCCATGAAGTCGTCTTTGAGGAAATCGTCGAAAAAGTCTGGAGGAATGTCTTCATTTTTTTCGTCCGCTGCTTTGGGAGCCACTCCCAACGAAGATTCTTGGGGTTTCGCTTCTTGACCCTCTTCAGCCATTTAACTTAGACTAAATCAAGGTAAAAAAAATTAGTTTTTTTTAAAAATTTTATTTCTACTTTTTAGTTGGTTTTCATAATATCATGTAAATGATATTTTTAAAAATAAACGGTGCCAGAGGCGGTTTTTCTGAATGTAAACTTTATTTTTTTTGTTGATAATGTACAACCTTCGAAGATTTATTTAATTTATACAAAAGTTGAATTTGGTATTATACAACTACATATCTTAAATGTAAAATATTATTACAAAATAACAAAACTCAATAAACTAAAACATTATTTCTGTTGAGGCCTGGTTTCTTCATCTTTTGATAAACTCTTAGGTAATGCTATCTGACAGATAAAAACACAATCTATAGATTAGTAAATTTATCTTTGAGACAATTACCAATAAGTTTATTTGAAAATGAATAAACCGGGACTTAAAAGATATTATTTTTAGAATTAAAGTCTAAATAAATTTTGATAAAAAAAACAAACATGTTATGAAATTCTTGTATTCTTGGACAATAAAGCATATTTACTACTGAAATTAGACTTGTGCTATTCTTGATTAATCATAAAAAGATAGCTTAGTTTTAGTAACCTTCTCACAATATTGTTAGAGTTTCAGCAAAGAAAATATCTATAAGAGACTTAAGGCCGGTATTTCAATGTTATCTTAAAATCAAGACTTACCTAAGGTAATCTTAATGTTAAAATGAACTTGAAATCAGTTCATTCTTGAATTAAGGGAACTTTGATATATGGTGAAACTCGTATTAAGAACGACTTAAAGTTATTCTGTACCTGAAAGGGATATTGAAATACCGGCTCTTAGCTCAGGAAATCTTAAGAGCAAAAAACAAAAATATACAAAAGAGAGAAAAATACTAATAAAGCCAAAATTCAAGTAAGAAGGAGGAATATTATTATGATTTTGATGCTTTTAAACCTTTACAGAAGTGAAGTTTGCATGAGGCAACTCTTATGGCGGACCCTTCTAATACAAAAAGATAATCAGAGAAGTCTCTAGAGCCTGTAAAATTCAGAAAAGAAAAGAGCTCATAGAGAATCAAAAATCTATAGATTTGTGTGACTAGATTATTATGGAAAATGTGAAATTTGATAAAAAAAATTAGAAGAACATTCTGGGAACACAATATACAAGATATTATGTTAAAAATCTGAAAATAAAATAATACAAATTGATTAAATATACAGGGTGTCCAAAATACCATGGGCCACCATTGGTATATCAGAAACGGTAAGAGATACGAGGGCGGTTAAATTAGGAAAAAGTTGCCATTTTCAAAGGGTATTTAAAATATATTTTCGTTGTTGCCAAATTTCTATTAGTTTCCGAAATACAGGATGATTTGTAAAAAAAAAACAGTTCTAGGTGTTTTTTACAATCTTGCAAACTAATAAAAATTTGGCAACAACGGAAATATATTTTAAATACCCTTTGAAAATGGCAACTTTTTTCTAATTTAACTGCCCTTGTATCTCTGACCGTTTCTGATATACCAATGGTGGCCCATGGTATTTTGGACACCCTGTATAGAGTTGTCATTATGCATGGGAACAGCTTCATATTCAAAAAAATGCAAATGTATGATATCCTACATTAGGCAAGTAAAATGACACTGTTGAAAGAGCAAATGTGATCTTCGATTTGAAGTTTCAAAACTGATCACTAAGTTTCTTTTCGCTCTCTGAGGATTAATTGAACTCCACTGATATTTCTTACCAGGATGTCTATTTTTGAAACCAGAAAACAGCGTTCCCATAAGAAATTTTGCTGTCTTTGTCAGTACTATTAAAACATGAATAATGACAGAATCATGAGAACGCTGGTCTCTGGTTCCAAGAATAGGTACCCTGATTCTGGAATTATGAGAGCAGCATTCTCATAAGAACAAATTTGTTGTCGTTTTCACTCATATGAAATCTTGCAAAGCAGTAATAAGGACAGCAGCGTTTTCAAAATTAATAACAATGAAAGTAGGGATTTTCATTGAAAAAATGTTACAGAAGGTATCTTAAAAACGGTAAACTTGGCAACACTGCAAAACCACCATCATTATTCTTGAAACAGGGGAGCAGCATTATATTATCTCTCTGTCACTCATATTTTTATTTGCAGGACTCTGACAAAGACAGAGCAATTGTTCTCATAAGACTGCTTATTCCCTGGTTTCCAGAATAGACATCCTGTTTTTTCATAAATTTTGCAATCATTCAAATTTGTGAATTTTTTTTTGGCAACATTTTGTTTATAATTTATTTCTCTTTTAAACAATTAATAAATGTTTAATAATCATCATTTAAGACACAATTACATAAAAGGGAGTGACTACTGCACAGTCCAGACTGGTGACTGAAATCTATCTGCACTGTCCAGACAGTGCCAACTAAAAACCATCTGCATTGTCTAGATAATTTCATTATCATATAAAATTATAGTTATATTTAAAATTGCTTGCATTCAGAGCTGTCAAAGATACTTTTATAAAGTATCTAGATACAAGAAAAGTTACTTTTGGAAAAAGTATCTGAAGTTACTTTGGGTATTTACTCGGGTATTTAGTTACTCATTCAAAAAAGGATCTTAAATATGTATCTTAAGTTACTTTTTAAGATACTTAATAAGATACTTATTAAGATACTTTATTATTACTTCTAAAGCTTTTGCAGTTCAGTTTATTTGATCCACAGCTTTCAGATTCAATTTTAAAAACCAGAATTTTTATAGTTATGAAATCCCAAATTCAAGAATGAGGTTCAAAATTGCAAGACATAGAAAGTTATCACAGTTTCAAGTTTATTTATTTCAAAATAGTTACAAATATTGTTACATTAAATTTATGTTACAATACAAACAAATATTATATATAACTAACTAAAGCACCTAGATGACTTAACACCTGTATGTGCTTATTTTGATATTTAAAATTTTTGTAATTGTATTTAGAGATAAGTTTTTTTACACGTTTATTATCGCGCTTATGGAAAAAAAAAGAAAGAAAAGAAAAATCACTACAACCCAAAAATTACTTACTTATCTAATAATAATCTAGTACTTAATGAAAAGTACAAAATTATAGCCAGGTCTTATGACAGCAGTTTCAGAAATGTTATTCTATTTTCCCAAAGATATTTTTTTGCTTGCTTTGAAAACGTTTCAGCTCTTATATTACTTTTTTTTGCGTCAGGAATCAAATTATACGCTTTTGGTCCAAGATAGTTAACTGATCTTTTCTAGAATTCGCTATGACAATTCGGTATAATTAGCATATTCTTTGTATTATTTCTAGTTGAATAAGCATGAGATATAATATTTTTATCCTGATTTTTATGCATAAAACAGACTACTGAATGAAAGAATAGTATTCTTAGATTATTAATTATAAAGCAGATGTGTTGGATAAAGGTAATCTTTCTTATAGATGATTTTTAAAATTTTATTTTGAATTATTTGTAATGGTTTTAGAGTAGTTTTGTACAGGGTGATTCATTAAGAATGGCACTCGGCCATATCTCAAAAACTATTCATAGTAGTCTTGTCGGAAAAAAATTATCCCATAAATATGGCCAAGAGAAAATGCTGGAAATATATTTTAGCTTTCTAAAATGACCGCAAGGGGGCGTAACCCAACTGTCAAGGTACAAAAATGGTTTTATTTTTGAAATTTCAAATGGAAACGTATCTTGAAAATGCTAGCAATAGATTTTTGATGAAATTTCACGCAATTTTGATTCATGACTTTTTACCATAACTTATCGGATAAGATAGTTATGAGCTGTCAAATATTGCAACACAAGAAAGCGGATAACTTCAACACGACTCAACAAATCTGGTCGTTCTTAGGTTCGTTGGAAAGACAAGAGTCTGTTCTTTAATTTTTTTGTAAAAAATTCCAACTTCAGTTAGTTTGACTCTATGGGTGGATATTTGAAAACAATCGAATTTTTCTTGAAATTTTCAAATGGAATGGTATATTTAAGATATGTTCAATCGATTTTTGAGGATTTTTTACACAGTTTTTCTTTATTATACCTTCCTACAAACGAATTCCAGAGAGTGTTAAATTTAATTTTATCAAAAATAATCAATATTTATGAAAAAGCCCTCGTAAATAATGACTTCGTTTTTCTGACAGTTGATTGTCATCATTGATGAACGTCAAATAATGAAAAAAGTGCGTTAGGAAATTATAGTGCCAGAACGTTGGTTGTATTTTCCTCGCACGTGGCCCTACGTCTTCGAGTGAAAAAGGGAGTATGAATACTACCCGTAACCCTTAAACGATTTTTCAACCTCCTGATGCGGAAATGCATTTTGACTTTAGAAAATAACGTTTGGAGTGCGTTCGAAATCACCCTGAGGCGTCACACAGAGTGCACACCAGCTATGAATAGACCTATCTATTTTACCAGACAAAGAGGTAATAATACGAAAACTTCATTAATTAAAAAAAGACACAGAACGCTCATTGCGCAAGACGAGGCAAAACGTACCAGAATATGTTAGACTTACGTATAACAATCCGTCCTTCTTATTTGCTCGGGATAAAAAAGGAAGAAGTAAAACCGCGTGTTGTGCAACGTATTTGTCAATGAAAATGTCAAACAACTTTTGAATGACACTTGTCAAGTTGAATATTAACTTTAGATTTATTCTTGTCAGACCACGTGCAATGAACAAGGACAAAGAGATGCCCAGCGTGGAAAACGATCACCTCACACCTGTATTAGCTAGCCAATAAAAAGACAATGCCTCGTGTTGCGCGCGCATACTAGGTAAAAATAGATAGTTCTATTATAAAATCTGTTTTTTATTTAAAGATAAAAGTCAAAGTGACATTATGTTGACAATACAATGTAAAATTGTCAATGCTTCCAAATTTTTTATGTATAAAAAGCTTGTGCTGCCAACATAGTTACTAAATTTTTGACTTGGGGAATTATCAATAGTAATATCGCCTCTGTATAGCAAAAAGGGGCCAAGCGCCAATTAAACCATTTTTGGGAAACCGCCATAACAACATCTCCATACCCCAACTCACTTTGTGCAAAAAGGTGACAAGCGGCACGAACACAAACTCATGTAGACAGGAAAAGTACAAATAATTGCAAATAAATAATTTTCAAAATTGCAGTTTTCTTCTAGGTTTTCTCAAAAATTTTGTATTTTGGCACATGGCCCCTTCTTGTTCTACAGGGGCGATATGTATAACTAGTGCAATGGAAATTATTGATAATTTTTGGGAAATTTGCCCGAATGCATTTTTAGTTGAAAAAGAGCACTAGTGCAAATTATCGCGTAATTACAATCTGATTGGTTCAAATCAACAATCAAAACATGTCAATTCATTGTTGGAATACCAGTTTTGACAGATGTATGAAATTCTCTTTAAAAAAAAACAGACTTTACATGGCTGGTGTGCACTCGGTGTGACGCCCAGGGTGATTTCGAACTCACCCTTGAAGTTTTAAAAATGACTCAGCCTGACATATTTAACTAGTATCTGCTCAATTTACAAGGGCTTTTTCATAAATACTGATTATTTATAAGAAAATTAATTTTAACACTATCTGGAATTCGTTTGTAGGAAGGTATGATAAAGAAAAACCGTGTAAAACATCCTCAAAAATCGATTGAACATATCTTAAATATACCGTTCCCTTTGAAAATTCCAAGAAAAATTGGAAACATTCAATGGTTTTCAAATATTGACCCATAACGTCAGTCCTACTAACCAGAATTTAAATTTTTCACAACAAAATTAAAGAACAGACTCTTGTCTTTCCAACAAACCTGAGATCGACCAGATTCGTTGAGTCGTTTTGAAGTTATCCGCTTTCTTGAATTGCAATATTTGACAGCTCATAACTATCTTATCCGATAAGTTCTGGTAAAAAGTCATGAATCCAAATTGTATGAAAATTCACCATTTGAAATTTCAAAAATAAAACCATTTTTGTACTTTGACAGTTGGGTTACGCCCCCTTACGGTCAGTTTAGAAAGCTGACATATATTTCCAGCATTTTCTCTTGGCCGTATTTATGGGATAATTTTTTTCCGACAAGACTACGATGAATAGTTTTTGAGATATGGCCGAGTGCCATTCTTAATGAATCACCCTGTACATAGCACCCCAAGCCAATATACCATATCTCAGCAGGGATTCTACTAAACTCTGATATAATGTGCTTATTAAAGCCTTCGATACAATATTTCTTAAAATATAGAGCCTATGTATTAAAGTTTTTAGTTTTTTTGTAATATATTCAACATGTTTTGTCCATTTTAGATTAGAATCCACAAAAATGCCTAGATATTTTGCATGTGGTACTTCATTAATTTTCAATCAATTAGGCTTATTGGTCTGTAGTTTGATATTTGATTTTTAGCACCTGATTTATAGATTGGTATAATTATTGATTTCTTAAAATGGCCCAGTACAGTCCCTGTTTCAAAAATGAGATTATAAATATGCTTAAGGGGTGCCAGTAGATACTGATGCATATTTTTGATAAGTTCTACAGTAATCATATCGAGACCTGGACTACTGTCTGTTTTTAAACTGTTGATGTGCTGAATAAGTTCTTTGTCATTTACTGGAGTTAGGAATATTGATTTGTTCACTGATTCAACATTATTTTCTAGGTTAACTTGAGGTATTTTACCAAGCATCTGAAGACCTATGTTTGAAAAATATTCATTACAGTGGTTTGCCATTTCAAGATCAGTTTCAAAATTTTTGTTATTAGTATTTGTAATTTTTAAGAGACTTTTTGTTTTTTTGTTATTGTTTGTTATTTCTGTAATAGTAGTAGTAGTAAACAATATTTATTGAACTAATTGTTCAAGTACAAAATCGTTAATCAACTCTTTTGTTAAATGAGTGACGTACACTAACTTCACAGAGAGGCTGGGGCGAGTAGGTACAAATGAATAATACATAAAACCTAAGCTTGATGTTGTTTAAAGCTTGAACCAGTTTTATCTTTTTGGGTAAACGTCTCAAGAAACTTTTTTCATGGTATTTCACTTTTCAGTATCTACCTACTTCTAAGTATCTGAAATACTTTTTGGTATACAAGATACTTTTTTAACATACAAGTTACAGATCCTTTTGAAAAGTAACTAAGATACTAAATACTTTTGCCAAAAAATAAAAAGTATTTAAGATACAGTATCTTACATACTATAAAGTAACTGAGATACTCGAGTAACTAAGATACTTTTTTCTGACAGCTCTGCTTGCATTCCCTGCTAGAATTCAGTGTATTAATAGTTATTCTTGTATCAAGTGCGCAAAATTAGTGTTTTTTTTAATGGTACCTGAGAGTGTCAATTTTCATAAGTCAGGTCGAGGCCAAAAATGTATTCCAAGGTGCCCATTATGAACACAAATGTCGCATACAAAATACAAACAACATTTTTCCTACAAGCGAGCACAAAGTAGTACTTTTCATGGAGTGTGGAAAAGTGTAGCTTTGAGGGAAATGCGTGCGGAAGAGTACTATTTAGCGCACCTAATTCAAAAATAACTAATAATACACTGAATCCAAGCCATTTTGAATATAACTATAACTTTATATGATAACGAAATTAACTGGACAGTGCAGATGATTTTTTGTCGGGACTGTCTGGACAGTGGACATTGCAAATAGATTTCAGTCAGCACTGTCTGGTCAGTGCAGATAGTTTTCAGTTGGCACTGTCTGCACAGTGCAAAAGTCACTCCCTATGTAAAAACGTTTTTCAAAATTTTTAAAAAGTGAGGTTAAGTTTAAGTAAAATTACTACCTAACGTTTAAAGCCTTAATTTTTTAATTACAAACTTGTAATTAACGTCAATTATAGTGGAATTAGAACTAATTAAGCTTACCTCGTTGAATTTCAAGGAGAAGGACTGGCAAAAGGGACCTAAAAACACGAAAACCCCCCTACATTCAATTTATGATGAAAAGTAGCGCTGGGGCTTGGAAATTTGAATTGCTCTATTTAATGAAGGTGTCCACCTATAATAATTAGATATTTTGAAGATAAAAGACGAAACTTTCGAAGAAATAAACAATTAATTAATGAACTGAACTAACAAAACACAAAAATCCCATATTTTTTGTCAATAATAATTTTGACAGATGAGTAGTGTAAAGTGGCGCCATCTAACATTTTATGTTCAAAAATAGTTTTAGAAAAAATCGTTTTATCATATTTAATCTTATTTAAACTAAATACAAATTATTTTTTAATTATTATTAATTGATTAGCCGTCATTATTTTATATTTAATTGCAAAACCAACTCGATAATCAAGTGTTAGTTAATTAAATTACTAGTGGCGGCATCTATCGGTGGTGCCATTAACTTGTCAAATTGCCAACAAAAATTCAAAATCAGATGATTTTTATTTATTTATTATTTAAAATTTTAAAAAGTGTTTTTGTGGCAAATAAACCATGTCCACAGACTTACTAAACCTCCTCTACCCCAATGGATATCCTGGTAAGCAAAATAAAACAAAAAAACCATCTAAAATCAATCTTAATAACCTCTTTAGATGATTGGCAATACGACAAAAACATTAAAGATTATCTGGCAAAATTGGGCCAAAACAAAGTAGAAGATCTACTAAAACAACCTAGAAAACTCCAGCTAGAGTACGCCAACGTCCAAGACCAAACCCAAGACCTGGCAGTTAGTAATTACAAAACTTTCATTGAAACTGCCGAATGTTCTCGGGAGCTGTTCACCCAATTCAACTCAATCGAGCACAAACTAGACGAGCTAATTGTTGACTTGCCTAAATTCCAACAAGAATGCGGTAGATTCAGCGAGGCCACAGCCCAAATCAGTCATTTGAGGAAGCTGAATTCATTAACTTTGAGCAAAAATGCTCAATTATTGGAAATCTTGGAGCTGCCTCAGTTAATGAACTCATTTATTAGCGACCAATTGTATGACGATGCTTTAGAGCTAGCTAATTATGTGCAAAAAATTTGCAACAAACACATTGATATAGAGATTTTCAAGAGCATTTTGCAAGATGTTAACAAGCTGTGGCTCAAAATGCTCTTGCAGTTGCTCAATGAGCTAAAGTCAGACATTAATTTGCCCAAATGTTTGCAAATTGTCGGGCATTTGAGGCGTATGAAGGTTTTCAATGAGATTGAGTTGCAATTGAAGTTTTTGCAGGCAAGGGGTTGTTATTTGGAAAATTGCTTGAAGTACATACCAAAAAATGAGCAGTTTTTGTCTAAGTTTATTGAAGTCAGTAGAGTAAACTTGTTTAATATAATAACGCAATTTAAGGCAATTTTTAATGAAAATGATTTAATTTTTTTCACTTGGATTAACAATCGAATTGAGGATTTCTTACAAGTGCTTCGGTTAGAATTAAATTCCTCAAACATTGACTCTGTAATGGATCAATGCATGTATTTCGCGTTGTCTTTTAGTAAAATTGGTTGCGATTTTCGCTCCCTATTACTACCAATTTTCACTAAACAATTATTTATTAATTTCAATGACAACTTACAAGAAGCTTTGATTGTGTATGAAAAATCAATTGAAAACTTTACTTTGATTAACAAAAACTTACCAAACATACCGTGGAAGTCTCAAGATCCTTTACACCCTCCTGATAGCTTGCTGGAGTTTTACCCACTAGCCGAATATTTGAATAACCTACTCAAAATCCTCAACAATTACAAACAAAATGCACCACTATCTTTAACAAAGAAAATAATCAACCTCATTCAAAACTCGTTAATATTAATATCAAAATCCTTATTGAAATTATACCTGCAAGAACATCAAGCCTTTAATTCGACCTCTAGGGATGCTTTTACCAGATTATGCATGAGCTTTTCTGATGATCTGATTCCTTATGTGCAAAAATGCATTCACGTTATTTATCCGCCGAGTCAAATCGCGGCAAAACTGGGCGTCAGCGTGCGAGAGGAAAACTTGACTTATTTAGATAAGGATTTAATTGTTGAACCTATACGGCACTTGTTGCCAAATAAAATTGAATTTGATGAACAATAAAATTGTGTTTGATATTGTGTCTTAACTTATAAAGATTATGAAACACTGGTATATCTACGTTAACAGTCTAACTATAGGGAAGCGGTGAGACTTCGGGAAATTGGTATCCTGTGCAAGGAGGATGATACCTTCAATGACAACCTTCAAGAAAGCACAGAGTTACCACTAGCAATCCATTTTCCTGACTCTATAACCATTGTTGTGGAGGATCAGATGCAGGTAACATACATACACTCTGTGGCAGATTGGCAACTAGTGAATCAAATATACGAGGAAAAAATAGGTTGTTGTAAGTTTATTGATTATTAATTTTAGTAGTCAATTTGCAGAGAGCTCGCATATGGCATGAGGAAACGCACTCGCTTCCATTGTTGGAGGCCAAAGTGGACTCTGCAACACCAGGTTTCGTCTTCAAAAGGCACTATGCAATCAATACGAGAGTCAATGGAAACAACACAGTGGCAGGGGTAAGTAATATCTACACTGATGGCTCCAAAACGGTTAAAATGAATATGTAGTCATAACAGTCAAGACGAATTTTTGGTCCACAGACTGTTGTTAATAATAATACATCTTCAACAAAAAAAAAAAAAACACAAAAACATTGATTTTCTTTAAAAACGAAAAAACTATATTTATAATACATACATGTCAAAATATAAAAAAATATTTATAAAGTACTCATCATTGTGTCATTATCTAAGATTGTGTCTCTCTGATATGCTTGAAGCCACAAGGGAACACTTGTCGTAAAAAACCGTGCAAACGACTTAAACGTCTTTTTATAAGATTGCAACTTGTGCACCGAAATAGTGACCCCTTCAACAAGCTCTTCTTTGTAAGCCTCCAAAGACAACTTGAATTCCAGAATATCGTTGGAAGTTTGAAAATCCTTATTCCGCTCTTTCAAATGTCGCGTAATAGCCAATTCGCGTTGAATCAAATTAACTTCCTTTTTTAAATTGAACTCTTTCGACGTTACCTTGCGTGAAGACCACATATTTGTTTTTGTCTTATAATTAAAAATTGCATCGTCTTTTACCATGGTAAAACACAAAATGTCACATAAAGCGACATTTAGCAGCTTAACTACAACCTCCAAGCAAGAGTTTGGAAATTTCAATGTGAAACAATCTTCTTGTATCGAAGTTGTAGGTCTATCTGTTAGAGGTTCTTTAGTTAAGAGCTTCAACAAAACATTTTCGTCGTTTTCCAAGAAAATTTTCAAACCAAATTTGCATAAAATTATAAAATGTTCCAAACTTGAATCATTTATCGATGTAGTGATATTGCGAAAGTGTTCAATGGGATCTTGCAGGCAAATTGCACTAGTCAGCTTGAGTTGCGGTTCAATTTTTGAAGCCAAATAGTTTTTATAAGCCAAGCAACTTTCAGGTAAGGAGTCGACACATTCGAAATCTTGCCTCAGAAATTTTTGGCCTAAATAAGGCACAATGATGTATGTTTTGAAGTCAAACTGCGAGTAGAATTCGAAAAATCCTTTCAATACACCTAAAGTGGTGTTCATAGCCAAGCTCTGGCTATAAAAATGAGGTAAGGGAATAAAATCTACAACCCAATTATTGATTTGAGTTAGATTCGGATGCTGTTGCAACTGGTGAACAGATGGAAAACAAAAAACATTTTGCAAATAAAACAAAAAAAGCATCACCAAAGAATAATTGGTGAAAAATAGAGTTTTTTTGCTGACTTGGTGATTTTTGGCCCAATATTTCAAACAAATCATACAGGGTTTAATCATCGGATCCAAACTTAGATAATAATGAATCAATTTGCTATTCCAAACACCAATCATGTTTTTTACATTGATATCGCAAGGTATTTGAGTTGCCAAATGTAAGCACTTAACTATAGGAATTTTAGTTGTGCCTATTACAAAAGTGTTGCCAAACTTACGACTACCTACCAACATATTTTTAATTATGTGCAACAAACGCACCTCAACCTCTTCGTTATCTTCAAATTTCACGTTGGCCAAGTAAACGTCCACGTCACTAGTCAAGTCAAACCCCAATCCGGTCATTGTAGACCCAAATTGGTGGACTTCAATCCGATTGAATCGCTTTGATAAAATTTGACCCAAGTCATTACAGACTGCCTGCTGTTTTTTCCAGCACTCCAATTGGTTGGGTTGGAGTTTTTGGATTAGGCGTTTTAGTTCTTCATCGAAATCGTTTGCACCTTGTAAGCCTTCTACTATTGATTGCTGCAATTGATTATTGATTTCTTCGTCGTTGATTGGAACTAAAATACAAAAAGCCTTTGGTTTGATGGCAAAGTTAGTGAAAAATGTCTGTTACCTTTTACATTCAAAGTAGGTAACTTGTGTCGGATAAATAAGCGCTTTCCATTCAAAAAGTGGGCATTTTTTGTCATAACTTTCCTGACGGCCTCATTTTCGGTAAAATCCAACAGCAAATAGTCATGACCGAAGTGGGCCCAAATCACGTTGCCAAATTGCGAGAAGTACTTGACCAAATCGGTTTGTTTGGTTTCGGTTGAAAAGTTCCGGACGTAAATGCCGAAACCTTCTGGAGGTTTTGGGTCGGTTTTTTTCTGACTAGTCATGATGTTTGGGCAACCAAGCAAGCAGAGAAGTTATTCTCAGTTGCCTCAATTTTCATTGGGAAATGTCAAATCAATTCAATTTTATAAATAAATAAAAATGTTCAGCAAAAATACTTTAGAACTTATTGATAAGTAGGTATAACTATTATTCGTTTTTTTTCCATTTGAAATGTAGTTGAGCGTCGTTTAATGTTCGGTTTAGGCTGGAATTTAAGGAAAATTTCTTCTTTTTATTTTATTATAATAATAGTGAAACTTTGTTCAATAGAAACGCGTATGGAATTTATCTTGGATTTCAAAGAGCATGGTTGTTAATGTGGAGAGGTATTCAGAGCAACGATTATTACACCCTGTATATTATTATAAATTCCTCAAGTTGGAGAAATGATATAGAATCTAGTAACACTGTATGTGAACTGTAGAATAATTTTAATACGCAATGGTGAAACGAATAACGTATCTAGAAAATTCTAGAAGCAACGACGCGCTATAAAACGGAATCAGCTATGGTGATTATGTTATGTTACCAGTGTTATTATTGATACTCCCTTGAGGGGGAAACTTTGGGCTACAGTTTTCCAGTTAAACCTTTGATTTACGTCTGTCAGAAACATCATAATTTTCCTCTACAAAGTTGAAAAATTGTTGCTTACTTATGACATGTATCTCTTTCATTTACAATTACTCTCTGACATTAAAAAACTGTTCAAGAATAAAAATACTTTGTTAAAGGTAAAATTTTGAGCTACGAAGGACCCCGCAATATTCAAATAGAAATTGATTACCCGTGATATTTGGATGAACTCATTGGAAATGCTATACACATTTTTTACCATTGGCACAACCTTGTATACAGGGTGTTCCTAAATATCATATACAACGGAAAGGGGTGATTCTTTGTCCGGAAACGCTTCGTTACCGATCTACAGAGTATTGAAATTTTAATATTTTTTTAGTTTTTTCTTTATCGCTCCTGCAATTTTTTGAAGGATTTAGCTCAAATTTAGAACATAGGTTTTCAGGGGTCATGCCCCCTCCTCTGCCCCTGAACTTTTTTGTGGTGCGCCGCTGCTAGATTTTGAAAAAGAAAATCGTTTTTCTACCTTATTTTCACTGACCCTTATCGAGGAAAAAATTAAAAAAGAAATCTTTGTCATTAGCTAGATGAAACTACAGTGACTCAATAAACCTTTTCTGCCTACAATGGCGACAATAGAGGTCCTGCCGCCATATTCTTGCTCATTTTCAATAAGAATCTAGAAGTTAGATATAGATATTTCAACACCCTGTGGATCAGTAATGAAGCGTTTGCGGACCTATGATTATTAGAAATTTTAGACATAACATAAACCAAAGAATCACTCCCTTCCGTTTATACATGATATTTAGGAACACCTTGTATATAACAGGTGAGGAAATGTTAGTTGTTAAATATTCCTTTGTTCATCAATACATGGAAGGGAATAGGAAATCGTTTTAGCTTGAAATATGCCATATTATCTCATGTTGAAATATTTGTATATACTCAAACCTGATACACCCTGTATAAATCTGAAATCATAAATTTTCTGAAAGAGCATATTTTCTACGAAGGCGTAGAAGGGGCATTTATTAAATTTTTATTTGCTGGCAGAGATGCATAATTAATTCTGTGTTAACTAACTTGGAATTATTCCCCTCCTATTTAATTCCGTGTTAACTAACTCGGAATTAATCCCCTCCTATTTAATTCCGTATTAACTAACTCGGAATCAATTTCCTCTTAGTTAATTTCATGTTAAGTAACTGGGAATTAATCTGCTCTTATTTAATTCAGTGTTAATTAACTCGGAATTAAATAAGTCGGAATTAAATAAGAGGGGATTAATTCCCAGTTACCTAACACGAAATTAACTAAGAGGAAATTGATTCCGAGTTAGTTAATACGGAATTAAATAGGAGGGGAATAATTCCGAGTTAGTTAACACGGAATTAATTGTGCATCACTACCAGCAAATAAAAATTTAATAAATGTCCCTTCTACACCTTCGTATATTTTCAGCTTTTTAATGGCAAAATAATATGTATACAGAGCGTTCTATTTATGGAATTTTTAATGCCTATTTGGAAGTACCAGTGGTTCTAGTGACTTAACGTATGTCACTTCTTGAACTCAAAAATAAAATTAGGTCAGGAATTTCCTATTTGTACATGACATCGTTTTTCTTGGTAATTTTTTGTTTCATCTGATTCGTGATTGATAAATAAGGATGGGGTTATTCTAATTGGGTATTAAAAATACTATATATTGAAATTCAGATTTTTCAAATGTTATTCAGAAAACCACATTTGCAAGTCAGAATTTTCCAATGTAATACAGAAAATCTCACTTGTAATTCAGACAACAGTTATAATTATTGAGGGGGATGGTCCGCCTGAACTGAGAACAGAGGGATGTTTAAATACATTGTTCTATAAATTTTAAACCAACCAAATTTTCTGAATTTCAGTTGTAATTTTCTAAATTACATTTGAAAAATCTGAATTACAAACTACCTACTTTCTGAATTACAAATTACAATTGAAAAAGGTGAAGATTACGATGTATGTACTAAGCTTTCGCTTAGACTGAAGACACAATGACAAATACAAGATACAAGTGACAAAAGACAAAAATATAATAACACAGAATAAATGGATACAGGATACAATTTACTGGCCATGACTTGATACAAAATTTCGATTTTTTGGTATTTTGTATCTGTCTCTTGTATCTTGTATTTGTCATTGTGTCTTCAACCTTAGTAGTATAAAGAACAATACTTTAATTGACCTATACTAGTCTGGCAAGTGATAACATAGTGGCTGGGTTCGGTAATTGCATCTGTGAGCAAAAAGAGTAAATTTTGACGGACGTCACGTGGTCTGATCACTCATCTTTTTTCACGTGTCAAATCACGTGATGCGTATTTGTCAAATTTCGCTCATTTTCCTTGCAGATGCCATTATCGAACCCAGCCACTATATATTTAGTAGTGACGAAAGGGGAATAAAAGTGGGCGAAGCCTAACAAGAATATTCACTGACGTTTCCGAGACAAATGAGTCAATAAAATTGTCAAAAAAGACCCTATAGTTTAACCACACAGCCACCGTGCTGTCGATCTGGTTTTAACCACGCCACTGTACTGTCGATCAGGATCTAACCAATAGAATCATGCCTCTAAATGATCACTCCTCTCCACATCCTGGTAATAGTTAACTTAATGATGCATCTGGGGTGCCTTATGGAGATTTGCATAATGTTAAGGCACCCCAGATGACGTGACGTCATAAAGTTATCAGGCAACCTACCTCTCTCAAACACGCATAATTTCGCATTTTCCTAAAATAGGTTGTTGTTTGGTAATGGGTTATGGTAAACAGATGACGTCATTAGGAGGATCTAATCGAGATTCATGTTTAGTGCAATGTTGTTTGAAAGAGGTAGGTTGCCCTGGACACCTGGGGTTGTCTGATAACTTTTATGTAGGCATCTTGAGCCCCCAAAAATAATGCAAATATTCATTAGGCACCCCAGATGACGTCATTTGTTTCCCATTACCAGATAACCTATTAACTTCAGGAACTTTAGGTTGGTTTGTTTGTGTCGCACTAACTTGAACTAAACTGTTATATTTCAGATTATGGCAAATGAACCATGTAAAGCGCTCACATATGAACGCCCCAAAGCAGGAAGTGCTGCCCCGAACAACACTAACAAACAAACCTCTTGTGTTTAGTGTAATGTTTAGGTATCCCAGATGACCTCATGAAAGTTATCAGGCAATATACCTTTTTGTAACAATCCTTGGTATCAAATCATGTTAGACTATACTTATAGTGTAGTCAAGTTATCGGAATTTAGGTCCAACTTCTGAAAAAATTATATACAAATGTTTATGAGTGGGAACATACAGATAATGTGGCCCTAGATGACATACTAAAAGTCCCGTAGATTCTGACAATGGCAAGTTGCAAAAAAGTGGCCGCCAATAGCTTTGTTTGTTGATTTGCACCAATATGGCACTTTCTACTCCAAATGTATTTTAATCCCTATATTTTTGTTAGTCTGACAGAGACAGACTGATTTTTTACTGCACCGGTGCAGCTTGGTGTAACTTTGGTGCAAATAAACAAACAAACCCATTATGATCGTCTCGACCGGCTGCTGCGGTTTATTAGACCGCAGGAAGATCAGGCAACTTCACAATTACTGTTTAAAATTGTCGATCCCAATATTTTACGCAACACCTTTATCTACAACAGATTCAGAAACTTCATAATAGGTATGAGTCCTGAAAACTATCAAAAATTTGTTGATGAAGGAATGTTCACTTGTAAGAAGAACCAACAACTTTTGGTCCGGTACTTGGACCGACATGGTGATCAAGCAGAATTTGATGAGGTCAATCAAAACAACTGGTGGCCTAACTTATGGACGCGGATTTACTAATTCGTCTTTGGCCAGATGGATTGCTGGTATGTCAGTTTGTATGCCTGTTACAAAGGCTTTTGGAATGTAAGTCTGTGACTTCAGAATAGCATATAGATTTGAGTCGCTCACGCCAGCAACGCGACAAAACTGATTCGCGAAAAATTCAAGATTGGCTAAAATACAACCCTTATAAATGCAAGGAGTTAGGAGTTCATATCAGTTTTCTCTGGACGAATAGCTAAATCCGATATAAACTGCGATTTAGCAGATAAAATTGGAATAACAGTACTAACAAAAAATATAGGCAAAGTATTCACAGATATTAAATGCAAGCGAACAGATCAACTCAAAAAATTTTCACAAATGAGCAGGGGCCTAGGGTGGGCCTAGGCTGGGCCTGGCAGAGGCGCCAATTTTTGAAAGTCTTCATGGGTGCAGGATAATATTTTTATTTTGTTTATAGGGCAAGGGGAAAGCTCGCCGCAGGCGCTGGCGGAGGTGAAATTTTTTCATAGTGTATACCGGTCTGGCAAGTGAACATCTTACATGCCAATTTAAATGCAATAGAATGAAACGTCTAGAAAAAGTCTAAGGTTGAATAGAGAACGGAAACGATTTCCCTTGTTCCACCTCCAGCGTTCCAAGCGCTGCATGCTGGAGGTGGAACAGGGGAAATCGTTTTCGTTCTCTATTTAACCTTGGACTCTTCCTATACATTCCATTCTATTGCATTAAAATTGGCCTGTAAGATGCTGGCTTGCCAGACCTGTATATTTTTCTATTTGTCTCTATGAGCGTGCGAAAAGTGCTTCTTGCTGTACGCATTTCAGGCCAGAAAAATATCACTTCTTCGCACTAGAATGCGGAAAAGTAGAATAATTATGCAATTTAAGGTTACCCTGGTACTTTTATGTCCTAAAATGCCTCATGTCCCGATTATTATCAAAGAATAGAGATGGAGATGGAGAATAGCAACATTAGCAATATAAAGTAATAGAGCATAGAACTGACCACAAATAACAAAAGGACAGAATACTAATACCTTCCTAATCCAAGACTAATACCACTTGTATAATTCTTATACAAAGTTGTGTAAATTTGAATTACATGATACCCACGAGAGCTCCGAGCACCCATGAGAGGTTGCTTATGGGAGCATCTGCCCCAATGCCCCCATGTACTCGGCGCCAGTGGCCTGGGGCCTGTTATTGTAACTCATTAGAATCTTTGAAAAAGTAGAACAGTGCATTTACTCAGGTATGCACCGTAAGCTAATTTCGAGGATTAGTTATGAAAACCTGGATTAGATATAGTATGTAATTTTAAGATACAAGAGTGGATGGGATATATGTTAGATCCGTTATTCTATGGATGGGAACGAGATAGAGATGAACATCTTGCGTCTACATCCGTAACAAAAGAAATTGCCCCCTCTGATATACTAAAAATGGTATTCTGTAATTGCAAGGAAGGGACATGCAACAAGGCATGCTCCTGCAGAAAACTTGGATTAAAATGTTCTGCAAAATAAGTCAATGCTCAGGAATGATTTGCTGGAATTCGTGCATCGTATATGAAAATGATGAAGATGATATTACTCATAATTGAACATAGTAGGTACGTACCTATTCTTTTGTGAAACTGGAAAAAGTCAGTAATTATTTAAATACATGTTGCTGATACATCCCAACAAATGTAAATTTGCATTTTAAGTAAAAAATATCCCCACACTTTTCCTCATAAACCTGATAGTTTTTGAGATATTTGCAATAAAATGTAAAAAATAAAATGGCGGCCGGTTTTTTTCAACTTGCCAGAGACATAATCCATGGGACTTTTAGTATGTTGTTTAGAAAGTTACTTCTCGTACATTTTTGTTAAGAAATGCTTGTATAGAATTTTTTCAGGTTCTACATCTAACTTGCCTACACTATTATAGCAATCTGTCTTTCTTATTTGCACGGGACGAAAAGGGAAAAAGAAAAATCGCGTAAATTGCAAGGTTTTTTTTGTCAATCAAAAACTCAAACCAACTTTTGAATGTTTCTCTAGTTAGTAGAGTTCGGTTAATCCTCCTCGAGCGAAAAGATGGCATTGATGACAACCACACATGTGACCAGTTTTTTAACTTCAAATGAAAGATCACGTGAGCTTCTGTCAAGAATGTAATCTTTTAGCTCGGGGAGGATTAACCGAACTCGCCTCATAGCTGCCTATCTAAGGGCCGAATTTATAGTCATTCCTTGAGAATGCCTTAAAGGTCGTGAGTTCAGAATGGACACTTGGTACTACTTGATAAGCTAGTCATGTCAATTCTAAACGTTCAAGGCTTCCTTAAGGTCCAAGGAAACCTCAAGGAGCGACTATAAATTCGGCCCTAAAGCTGCTCAGGGGCGTAGCCAGGGGGGGAATCAGAGAAAAATAATGAAGTAGATAAAAGCTGTAGACTGCTTATGATGTCATAAAAAGCTTAGAGGATAGTGGGTCTCTATACAGGGTGTTCATTTTAACACTTACCACCTCTATTATCTCAGAGTTGACAAATTTTCAAAAAAATTCTTGGAACATGTCAACGTCAACTATAATTTGAAGGGAGATGAGTTTCTATGCAAAATTTACCTCTCTCCTTTCAACTCCCCAGTCCCCAGAACCACCCAATAAAAAATCTTAAATGGGAAGAGGAGTCAAGTGATAGGTAAAGTCTGTTTTTTTTTTTTAAGATAATTCCCCAAGTCAAAAATTTGGTAACTATGTTGGCAACACAAGCCTTTTCTACATAAAAAAATTTGAAAGCATTGACAATTTTACATTGTATTGCCAACAGAATGTCATTTTGACTTTTATCTTTAAAAAAAAAAAACAGATTTTTACATAATTTTGGAGGGTTTTTAATTCCATACATTTTGGCATAATGCCCTAGTGATGCCCTAAGTTCAACTCGAGGTTCGACTGTTTTGAAAATATTGACAGTTGAAAATTGACTTTTTTGCAAATTCGACAGGCTGTAAAACCTAAACAGTTAATTTTAGAGGAAAACTGATTTTACACTTATCTTACTGTCTGTTTTTTTTTAAAGATAATTCCCCAAGTCAAAAATTTAGTAACTATGTTGGCAACACAAGCCTTTTCTACATGAAAAATTTGAAAGCATTGACAATTTTACATTGTATTGTCAACATAATTCATTTTGACTTTAAAAAAAAAACAGACTTTAGATTTTCATAAACTATCAAATGACACCAACAGGCATGGGGTTTTTTTGGGGGAGTCAGCTGTTCGACCCGAAGACATAAAGCATGCTTCCCCCACACTTATCTTCACTTTCATAAGAAGGGCTGGACTGATGAGGGAAATATAAACTCAGCTCAGAATGAATAGACCGTAGATCGCAGTGGAAGGGCAGACATCGGACCAATCACAAGAAACCTAACCCAGTCCAGATTCTGACGTAATTTGTGGTAATTGGTAATTTTGTACACCTACTATATCAGCAGAGCTACCCCTTGGTATTATATTCTCAGAAATCTTTTTTAGGGTTGATATTTATTTCTGTGATACCATGTTATTTCAATCCACCATGATCTAGCCCAAAAGATTGCCCATTGTTGTATAGATAAATAAAAGGTATGATGATAAGATTAAGATCTTTATACGTCATCTTTTCAATAAATACTTTGTTAAGTAAAAAATGCCAATTACAAGTTTCTATTGAACAATCATTGATCGAAATTAAACAAATACTCACCATAACAATAAAAAGTGAAACTGAAACGCCGCTATAGAATAAATTGCTGATTTTTGTTGAATATTAAATAATAAGAAATTATGTGAAAAATTGAAAAATAAACTGATTTTTTTGAGGTTAAGGGGGTTAAGGTACAAACAATGACGATTTGGAGTTGACATCCGAGCAATTAATTTTTTGTTTTAAGTAACAATTATTACCCAAAAACATTGTTTTTTGTTATTTATTTGTTAACAATAAAAAAAAAAATCTAAAATTACTTTTAAAAAAATTAAAATTTTATTTGTTGCTAAACAGAGATGTCGCCACTTGTATAATTCAGCTCGTCGATTGTGCCTCTAGCAAAAACCAATAAAAATTCGATATTTTTAAATAATTTATGCTTGATTGATTGAATTTGGGCTTCAAGAAGCCAAAAATTACAAGTTTTTACAATAAAAACCTTTTTGAAATCCAATTAAAACAATAAAAAAATCAAACTTTTTAGTTTGAGTGATTGCTCATAGATGGCCACACAAGTGAAAATTTTTTTTTAAGACAAAACTAAATAAACTATTAATATAAGATGCTTAATTGAATATATTTTATTAATAAAAATACTTAAATTTAATAAATATTTGATTAATTATTAGTTTAATTAAATTAGATTATTTTCTGTCTTTTTCTATCTTATGCAAGTTCAACGTGATTGGTCGATATTCACGCGCGCATTTGAAACTCGGACCAATCAGAGTGGCCGTAAACAGTCCGCGGTCGAGTAGCGAGTGGTGTGAGGCAAGCTACCATCTTCTACATCGTTTAACGTTTGCCGACATTACTGTGTAGTGTTTCTCCATAAAGCCAGTCGAAAAGGTAAGAATTTATTGGTTTGTTTTTGTTAATTTTTACAATTTGTTATCGATTATTGTTTATTAATTGTTCTTTGTTAATTTGGTGCGTTTTTTATGAGCGCTTATAGCTGGGTAATTGAATTATTGCGTAAAAAACGAGCGGCGTTCCTTTTCGGCCCCTGGTTATATGCACAAATGGCTGCCATAAGAAAAGCATGCAAAACTTTTTTTCAGGTTTTTTTATTATTTATATTTATTTTGGGAGATTGATTTTATTATATTTAGGTGCAGTATTTTTTTTCTGATTTTTTCACGTATTCAGTTTGCCGATTTGTTGGAAGATAAGGTGGTAATTAATTAATTAAGTTTGCAACGGCTTTGTCTCATATGGCCGGCCATTTTATACGTGCTGTGTGTATTCCTTATGGGCCCCGTGTTATCCTTATGGGAGACGATGTTTTCGATGCGATTTTTCGATTTTCCCGTGGAATTTCGAAATTCGAACGATTTTTACGGAATCCTCGGGCTTCTTTGGGGCCTATCGAAAATTCGTCGTTTGATGACGCGGCCGCTGGTGACGATTTTTGGGCGTTGGAAACTTTTTCGTCTGTTGTTTGGCTTGTGTTTAATTTTGCCGCCATTTTATTGTGTGTGTGTCTCCTATTCTTGGATTTTTTTTTTTAAATAATTAATTTATTTTTATGACGTCATTGGTTGATCAATTGAAATTTTGATTATTGAAATAAAAATCAATTTTTTTTTTTGGGTAGTGGGGGAATCTATTGTTCAAATTATATGATTATTTTATTTCAAAGCCTAATTAAGTCCAATTAGGTATACTTCTATGAATTCTAAATATGTATGTAATTTGAACAATCTGATTGGTTACTAAGGCAGGAATCAGGTTTGTTCCAATACCACTTTCCAAATCTGATTGGTTTTGTAGCTAATTTACGTATAAGGTTTGTTCCAGTATAAAACTGTGTTTGTTTTCACTGAAATCACAAACCAGTCAAAGCGTTTTTGATTGGTTCAAGTCGCCAACTACCAAATTTTTGTAACTATTTATACAGGGTGTCCCACAGTGGATGGCGTATTAGACGTTTATGGAGAACTGAAAACTGGATCATTTTGAAAACAGGACTTCCAATAAATCTTAATATCTCCCTCCTTTAAAACAATTTGAGTTATCCATGAAGAATGCCTGTAGGCATTTGATCTTTCGCTGACATCTTAGTTCAAGTATACAGGATGGACTAGAAATTAATTTCTGTCGGTAAGTTACAAAAATGCTAGAAAAATGATTTTTTCAAATGGAACACCCTGTATAATAATACGGATTTGAAAAGCTGATGAAATTAGCTTTCAGACTATGTATGTATACTTTGCCAATACCTAACTCTCCATGTTTTCGATTTATTAGCGTTTATTCATGAATTTTCATAATAGCTAAACTTCCAAGGGTTTTAATTGTAATGGTGGGGGAAATTTTTTGTTACATCACCATGACAACTTGTTTTATAGAAATTCCATTCTTTTAATAATTATTGTGATTTGAGTACCTACAATGGCGGAAGATAATAATTACTCCAATACAAGTTTGATGAATTTATTTATTTTCCATGTGATCAATGATGATTATGAAATTTCATGAATAATAATAAATCCGAAACATCAAGAATAGGGTACTTGCATGAAAAATTAAATTCAATATTGTTTATTGCAAACTGTAGGAAATCGAAAAAAAATCGATGCGTGTTTTTCTATTTTGCCCAAATATGATTATTTCGGAAGTTATAACAAATATTGAGTTTTATATATATAGATATACTGAGCATGTGCGACGTCACAACTCACAACGTATTATACATAAGTTAAGACGTCGGAAGGACATTTCAAAGCGTTGTATCTCTGTCAATTTTTGACTAACAAAAAAAAGAAAAAACATGTGTTGACTTATTTTTCCTGGACTATCGAAATCAGCAATAAAAAAATTTGATGCAAGGAGCCTATTAGGTATAGGCAAAGTATACATAGTTTGAAAGCTTATTTCATTATTATACAGTGTATTCCATTTGAAAAAATAATTTGTCTGGCATTTTTGTAAGTTACTGACAGAAATTGATTTCTGGACCATCCTGTATACTTGAACTAAGATGTGAGCGAAATATTAAATGCCCACATGCGGATAACCCAAATTTCAGCTCAAAATTGTTTTATTGGAGGAAGATCTTAAGATTTATTGGAGGTCCTTTTCGTTGGAAAAAAATTAAAATCAATTTATTCCCCAAAAAACGGCGACAGGTATAGCGAAAAATAAGGAAAATTTGATCATAATTATATGCCAAATTCAAAAACTTTAAAATATACAGGGTGTTCCATTCCAAATAGCGATGCTTGGAGTAGAAGCGACAACACCTCATGGTGAAAAATATTTTTAAAGTGTAGATCATAGTCGTTTATCCCAGTTACCTAATTTTCAAAATGATCCGCTTTTTAGTTCTTCATAAACCTTTAATATGCCATTAATAAACTTTTATTAACGGACAAGCCATTTACAGTAAATAACATAATACAAAAATATATGACGTTATAATATTAACGAAAAACACAAGAACTTAAAATTTAACATTTACGGTACATATAAATACACTGACATTTAGCGCTGCAGACTATTTAACAAATGTTTACAAGTTTTCAGAGACATGCCAAAAAAATCAAAATTGTTGGGTAGCTGATTAGCTTCTCTGCATATTCTAGCCATAGGGCAGAAAAAACCATAATTAGTCCTATGATACTCGCTATGAAAAAGATGCACTTGCCTAGTCTGTCTCACAGGGGCACGCAGGGAAATGCTGTTCAACAAAGGGGGACAGTCAATTAAGTTATTAAGCAACTTGAAAAGTAAACAAATATCATAATTCCTTCTACGTGCCTCTAAACTAGAAAGACCCAGCAACCGCAACAGGTCATTGTAGCAGACCTCTTCTGATGGTATATGTATCTTATAGGCAATATACCTTAGAAACCGTTTCTGAACTCTCTCAACACAATTTATATGGACCCCATAATGTGGTGACCAAATTGGGGTAGCATATTCCAAAATGGATCTCACTACAGAACAGTAAACGCTCCTTATAGTAAAAATATTATTAAAATCTTTGAGGGTGCGAAATACAAATCCCAAAAGTTTCATTGCCCTATTACAAATATTCTCAATAATATGTAAGTTAAATGTTAGGTCCTGTCTAAATGTAACTCCCAAATCCTTAATAGAGTCCACTGTTTCAACTACTTGATCATTTAATTTATATTCATAAAAAATTGATGCATGAGATTTAGAAAAGGTTATGGTTTTACATTTATTTAAATTAAGGATTAGGTCATTCAGGTGACACCACAGAGCAAAACAATTCAGGTCTAGTTGTAACTGCTTACAGTCTGATATGCACTTAACAGGCCTATACAACTTCAAATCGTCTGCATACAACAATATGTCACTGTGATGGATAAAATCTTCAACATCATTAATATAGCAATTAAATAGCAAGGGAGAAAGATGTCCTCCTTGAGGAACACCAGATACGACATTTATTGGAAATGAAATAAAATTTTTAATTCTGACGTATTGTACTCTACCGCCCAGAAAGCTATTTATCCATGCCAAAAAAGTCCCCCGAATGCCCAAGGCCTCTAATTTTTTTGTAAGTATAGATATATTAACCTTATCAAAATCCTTACTGAAGTCAGTGCTGATGGAATCTACTTGAGTTCCCAATTCTACAGCATTAACAAGATTATCTTGATATAATAAGAGGTTAGAAATAGTTGATTTCCTTTAATGAATCCATGTTGAGCAGTCGAGAGAACATTTCTAAAGCATGGGGAGATTTTTTCAGTCACAATACACTCAAAAACCTTTGGAATAACCGACAATTTACTTATTGGGCGATAGTTTGATATGTCTGCTTTATTGCCAGCTTTAAAAATAGGCGTAAGAAAACTTTCCTTCCATTTTTCAGGAAAAATACCCTTTGAGAATGACTTATTAAATATTCTGACAAGAACTTCAGACAAAACACATTTAGAATTTTTAAGAAAGTAAACTGGAATGCTATCTGGCCCGCATCCCAAACCATCATCCAAGTTACCTATACAATTAAATACATCCATCAAACTTATATTACAAAAAAACAAATCTACAGTCTTAGAATACTGGAAATCAATGTATTTCTCTCTATGATTTACATATGCCAACGAGAAATGTTGCGCAAATAAATTAGCAATTTTTTGAGGGCAGTCCGATTTCTCCTCACCATAAAACATATATTTAGGCAGTTCAGTACTATCCTTTTTGGAATTTACATATCTCCAAAAGTCCCTTTTGGATTGAATATTATTCTCGAGTTCATTTATATAATTAATATGGCTATCTTTTACTAGTTCTTTGCATTTTTGCCTAAGGTTTGAGAAATTCTGATAGTCGACTAATGAGTTGGACTGTTTGTAAGATTTATGCGCAACCTTCTTCATCAAAACATGTTTCTTTAAATCATCACTAAACCAAGTGGGAAATTTTAGGTTTTTAGCCCTACGTCTTGGAACAAACAATTCAATTGCCACATTTAGTACATTATAGAACAATTCGACTACTACATTAATATCATCATTATTATATATAAAATTCCAGTCTACATGTGATAAGTACATATTTATATCAATGAAATTTGCTAGCCTGAAATTAAAATATTCAAAATCATATTGCATGACTTCACTTGGAGGATTCAACCTAACAAGGAACTGCAATGCTGGATGATGCGAATCACAACCAAGCAACGGTTGGTCAACAGCCGAAACATTGGTTACCTCACTACTAAAAATTAGATCCAGAAGTCGACCCCTTGCATTGGCAATAGCATTTATTTGTTTTAAATTAAAAAATGCCATAATGTGAGACAAACACACCACCTGCTGTGTTACAATCCCATGAGGAGTTGCACCATAATCATCATTCGACCAGAA